GCTCACACACATGTCATGTACATGTGTGTGTAATAAGCTGGGCCGCAAGTCACACAATCATCATGCCGCCTGTGTTTGGACCACAAGCATGGCAGAGGGGATACACAGACAATGTACGTACATGAACAGTGCCGCGTCGCATCACTGTAAGTAAAAAAATATGCAATGCACGTACACTGTTTTTTTGGATGGCTTTTTTTATTTTTTCGCCCTCATTGATTTCATCGAATAAGGTGACGCGAAACATAGGAAAAAAACGGCGTGGCCTTACGTATTACCAATCCCCCCCCCCCCCCCCCCACACACACACACACACACTCACGCATGCCGTTCCATCTTTTATCCAGGTGTTGTTGTTGTTATCGTAGTGATTGAACTGCATGGCATGTGCTTTGTGTTCCGTCTTGGCTGCAGATCGCTCATGGCAACGCACGGTCTTCCATTCACCGCTCGCAATGTTCTGGAGTTGCCCGTGGCCAATGGTGATGCGTTGCTGGTTGATCATATCAGTTGTCTGCTGTGTGAACATCGGCGGTTGTCCAGCTTGGTGTCTGACAAAGCCTCACCGTGGCAGAAGACATGGCGTGCAGAGCTGGCAGCTGCGCGTACTCATCGAACAGAGGTAAGCTGCAGCATGGCTGCCATTCTCTTGACTAAACTGGACACACACACACACACACTACTACTACTACTGTAGCTTGGTTGCCACAAGGGCCACACCACTCCGAAAGGAGCCAGAGTCATTGTCAGGAGCAGAAACGGAGATGACGACTCAGGTCACTCTGTCGACGGAACTGACGGTTGCAGCGAGAACAGCGAACACCATACGACGCTCTATCAGACTTGGTTGCTCGATGGCCACGGTCGCACACACACATATACACACGCATACACACACACACACTATGTATAGCCTAGTTCACACTCGACGCAACGCTGACGGTACGGGACGTAAGGGCCATTTAAATCGTGGCGATGTTCAACGTCAAATGGCGCGAGTCATAAAGCACGGTCCGTGACGGGGTGACTTTCCGGCCTAATTTCTTGTTTTTCGGGACTTCTTTGCAATTATTTCTCCTTGAATGATGCGGAATCAAGTTCCCAATACCAGTTTTCCATGAAGACGAAAAAAAGTAGCCCTGAAAGTTGTGCCATCCTAATAATAGCCCCAGGAAATGATAAAACATTTCGTCTGTCACGCTCGTGGACTATCCCTGAATACAGGAAGTGAAATGAAATCTTATCTCGCTAAATTTTAACTCAAGTCGTGTTAGCCATTCTGTGAGTTATCATGGGAAGCGTAGTGTTCGAAATGCTAAAAATTTCCAAGTACGAATCGGGAGTAGTCGATGCACAACGCCGTCTCCTTTTCACACTCGAATTTCAGCCGTTTTATATGCTTGCGTCCCCGACTACGGTATGAAAAGTTGAAACGATTCAGCTCTTCTCGTCGCTTCCCGATCCGTACAGCAGTACGGTTGCCGTTCCTGGTGTTCACACTAGACGCCGTTAGACCGTCCCGTTGCTTCCCGTCAATCCTTACGTCGCATCCCGTCGCGCCCCGTCGAATGTGAACTAGGCTTCTACCATGTATATGCCCGCCGCAAGAGGCACGCAAATCTGCAAATGCACTAGATGTGCACCCATAGATTTTCTCTTATAGCAACAATAGCGGATCTGAGTCTGGATGAAACAGATCAAGACTACATGCATAATGTAGGGGTGAGTCGACCCCCAGTGCACACCTGGTCTACACCACACGACACACACACGCACGCACGCACGCACGCACACACAGCCTCTCTCTCTCTCTCTCTCCCTCCCTCTTTCTCTCTCTCTCTCTCTCTCTCCCTCCCTCTTTCTCTCTCTCTCTCTCTCTCTCTCTCTCTCTCTCTCTCTTTCTTTCTCTCAAGTACCTAATTTTACTGCCGTTGTGTGGACAAGCCATAGTGCTACAGTGCGTTTCAAAAATATAGACGCGTGAGTTCAAAAAACCGTAAGGCCAGCATCTATACCACGTAAAATCTGTGATCACTTTGTGCATGAAAATTTGGAAATTGGGTGTTTGCTATTCATTTCGCTTAAAAATCGGTATGAGATTAATTGCAGGAAGGACCTGAGAAATATTCCGAAAAAAGTTCTTGAAAAGCTCCAGTCAAATTTGAAATATTTCAAAAATGCCATGTGTCTATATTTTTGAAATGGACTGTAGTTCGTGCTGGTGACCATCTGCAATGGATTCAATGCATGTACCTGTTTTTAGCCATGTGATGCGTTGTATTTGTTTGGTTGTTTGATAAGAATCAGAACATTCAGATATACAATGTAGGATATTGGTATAAATGTACACATCACCACCAGTTAGTAGTTATTGGTTTATTTAAACTTCTGTTCACCTCTGTATTCAGGAAAGGGAACGTGAAGTAACGCTGGCCAAGTCCCACAGCTTGCACCAGCATCGCCGAACGTCAGTTGAGGTGCTTCTGAAGGTGAGTCTGTCCTGCAGTGTCCCTGAGTCCCCGAGTGGGTCACGCTTGCTGTTGCTATGCTGACGGCAGGACCACGTTGAGAATTACTTTTCTTCGTGGCAGTAGTTTGTAGCTCATCGAGCTCGTGAGGTACATGTATAAGCCTTATGCACGCTGTACAGATGCACGAAATCATGCACGAAATCCCGTAGAATCTCGTAGAATCCCATAGGCCCGGTTGGGTGTTGAATGTGCAGGACCCTATTGTGTTTACTGCTATTTCCACTAAGAAATGGGCCCTGAAGGCATTTCATACGAAAATCTTTTTTCTGACAAAGATCTAGCTAGTCATTAGTTCTAACCAAAGTGAAGAAGCTGGAAAAGCGATTGTTTGCCAGTAATTATGAGGTTAAAATTGGTCAAATGCGCATGCATAGCACACAATGAACACCCAACCGGGTCTGTACACACCTACGGTCCTAGTACAGAACTTCGTACATCTATACAACGTGCACAAGGTCTATTACACTTCATTAGAGTGAGCCAACGGATAACATGGCAGCAATGTCTAGGCTGCTCCATGCCATTAATTTGGCTATGGTAACTATTCCGAAAGTGTTTGACTTTGGAGTATGTTTTGTTCTGCGCTTGCATTTGCCATTGTGTCTAGGGCAAGCTGACTGGCCAGGCTCAGCAGGCATTCTCCTACCCACATCGCTTTGTCATGCACTCCTTCAAGACACCCACTGTGTGCGACTCCTGCAAGCAGTTGATGTGGGGTGTCATTCGCCAAGGTGAGCACATTTAGTTCTGTCTCTGCCCACCGCTACACACAATCACATGGTCACTGGCAAATGCTCCCTTTCCAGGGAATTCTCAGGTAGCTTCGGACTTACTTACAGGAATATCTAAACCTTAGGGTTGGCTCACATAAGCCAAATCGGAGCCGGGAAGCACCAGCGGTGAGCCAGCTCCCGATCCATCCCGCATACGGCTCGAGTACCAAATCTACTACAAAGTAGTACAGAATGTGCCCAAATGCTGTGACAGGTTTGCCAATTGAAGCTTGAACTCTTTGTTTCTTCAGTAGTTCAAGGTCTTTCGGCCACTCGGTGCTACATTTTACTGGAGATCATGAAACTACTTCTACACCCTTCATTGCAGTCTAGTAAGCGATGGTGTCGAAGTTATGCATGCGAACGTTGATGAAGTCACAACAACTTGCCAATGTATCCTTCGTATTTTTTACTTCACGAAGTATTTCTTTCAATCGTATTTGTCTCATAAGCTGCACAACACAACAGTCAAGCAGATCATCCGACAAGGACTGGTTGGTATGCTGAATTTTGACAACGTCTAGGTCCCGGCACCGGCGATCACCGGTGCGAACGGTTCACAAACCACTTTTGGTCAAAATTGTGTGGGATCGGTGCCGAGGCAGATCGCAGATTTGACTTTGCCGGCGGTCTCTTGCGATTCTTTACCGTATAATGTTGTTATGATTGGACTGGTTCACATAACCGCAATGTGCCGGGAGTGGTTGCAAGAGGCCCACCGCCGGTGACTCCCGGCGCGTACCGGCGATATGCGAACCCACCCTAAGCCACGAGCAGAAGCAGGCGCGGTGAGTCAAGTCCTGAAGATGGCGATATCTCTTGCCACACCCGCTAGTGAAATCCAGGGTGATGGGCTCAAGGGACCTAACGGTGTTGCCCTTCTCTGCGAACTTGGCTGAAGGCATACCGGTTCACTGTCTGGTGGCCCTGCATGTTGGTGACAATGCTGTCCTAACAACGCTCCAGGGGCCCATGACGTGGCCGTCTTCTCCAGTTCCCCCGAAGAGGACGCACTTCAGCATGCGGTGGCCGTCTATCTGTGCAACATGGCTTAGCCAAAGGAGTCAACGTGCTCTAGTGTTTCCTCTGCAGCTTGACCCGCTCAAGGAGTGAGGAGTTAGAGATGTCCAAAGAAAGGTTCCATGTTCTTGACTGACATCTACTTGTGTTTGCGTGTGTGCGTTTGTGTACTTGTGTATGTGTACTTGTGTAGGCTTGCAGTGTGCTGACTGTAGCTACAACTCTCACTACCGCTGTAAGCTGGTTGCACCGTCCAACTGCAATGAGTTCAAGCGTGGCAGCAGCAGCACCAGCAGTGCTGGAGGTATTGGCGTGGGTTCTAACAGTGAGGAGCCAGTCTTTACCTCAGCACCGGCTAAACCACCAACAGCACTGGTAAGACACACATATGCATGTATTGCACTGTACTGTTGCTCTGTTGTTCACATTTGCGTTCACTCGTATCCTGGCTTCCCATGCAGCAGTTGAAAATGTGTGTGCGTGGATATTTGTGCAGCAATTGATCTCGACTATCGTATCGCTTGTCCCACGGTCTGCTGTAATCCTTGACTTTTTGTCTTAGATTTCCGCGAATGCGGGCTGTTGTCTGTTGACCTTTGTAAATGTGTTGTTCTCATTCTCATTCTCGCTCTTGTTTCCGCCATTCCCGCTCCATCTGCTGCTGCTGCTGCTGCTGCTGCTGCTGCTGCTGCTGCTGCTGCTGCTGCTGCTGCTGCTCTTGTGGTGGTGGTGGTCATTGTTGTCGCCATACATATAGTTGTTTTGGTTGTTGTGTGTCATCGTGTTCATCGCCAGCATAGCAAGTGATGGTGTAGCCATCTTCACCACCACCAACTTACCGTATGCTGGGTTGTCCCCGTGTCTATCTCCAGCATCATTGTCCTTACCCCGTATCTATCTCCAGCATCATTGTCCTTACCCCGTATCTATCTCCAGCATCATTGTCCTTACATGATGCGTGTTTGTTCTGTTCATGTATTGCTTGTAGGCAGCTAAAAAGCTGATGAAGGCGAAATGGAAAAACTTTAAAAGTTGAAAAGAAGTTTCCGAGCAGCTAACTCTCAATGGACCCAAAGTTACAGTGTACTTGCATGCTATGGGTATGCACTGTACTGTGTGCTAGTGCTGCTAATGCTGCTGGATACATGATGGTATGAGGGTGTATACCTTGGGCTGGCGGCAGCACACTGCAACTTGTGGCAGTGTTGGTAATGGTGGCTACTCTGTGTTGTGTGTACTGTATACCCATGGGCTGATACAGTATAGCACTGTAGTTTATTCTTGGCACAATGAACTGTGGCAAGTGTGCACTGGAACACACAATATGTGTTGGGTCAGTGATATGTGCTGCTGCTGCTGCTGCTGGACTTTACACAACCTGGTTATGCTGGACTTTACACAACCTGGTTATGCTGGACTTTACACAACCTGGTTATGCTGGACTGGTTGTAAGCTCAGGGAACACTGAATACCATGACTATGTACCCAGCCTCAGGTCACAAATGGATAGGAGTGCGTGCACTACTACTACCACTGCTGCTAGTTGTAGTAGTAGCAACTTGACTCTCTGATCTTCGAATACTGTTTGGAAGCAACTCAATACTAGTGTAGACAGACGCAGTGGTGGTGGTGGTGGTTGCTGTACCTGAACACTACTGAACACTACTGAACACTACTGGCGAGTACAGTGCATACGCTGTAGTCAATACTAGGTACCGGTACTTGTCACTAATGTGTGGTGGCAACTGTGGAAGAGCCAGTCGCTGTGTGTGTGCTCTTTGCTATCCTGAATGATGGTGGCTGCCCTGGTGGCGTGAATGGAAAACTCGAAGGTTAACAATTCCCAGCTAGCCATCATGAATGGAATGGTGGTGATGTGCAGTGGCTTGTCGCGCACATTCTATGAACGATTCACACCCAATGGTTGCTTGGTTTCTCCCCGGGTGGCATTTTCGCCAGTGCGTGGTGCCTGTGTGTCCGACACCTTGTAACTGTTATGGTACAGCGGCTACTTACTGTATTCTTCTAGATCAGCAGTAGTGCTGCATGTCTGTCTGCTCTACTGCTGACAGCACTGTAATGTGTGTGTATGTGTGCGTGTACGTGTGTGTGTGTGTGTGTGTGTGTGTGTGTGTGTGTGTGTGTGCGTGTGTGTGCGTGCGTGTGCGTGTGCCGGTAACAACATACAACCTGCACTACCTGCACTTCTGTTGCAGTATGTCAATAGACAATAATAGAATAGATGTCAATAGACAATAATAGAATAGATGTCAATACTGATCTGTTAAATAGCCGTTGTGAACTTGCTGCTGTGCAACAGCAATCTTCTCTCCGTCATCAACACCAGTGGTAGCTGTACTTTACAGTGTACTGTGTACGGTACATACTTCCAAGTACTAGTATAAGTTGAGTGCGCTAGTGGCTCTGCACTGTGACACACTGTATGGCATTGTGTGTGGGTTCTGCATGCCAGTGCCTCACTGTGTATTGCGATGAAGACAGACACTCACTGGCATAGTACAATGCCATGCATGCCTGTCAGTGCAACCCTGCTCTTCCCTGACTTGTGTGGAAGTGTGTTCTCACCTCACTACCATACACCATCAAACTCTCACTCCTACTTGTGCCGGTCACAAGTAGTACACGTCTCGTCTGTTAGTAGCTATCTTTCCGATCATTTCTAAGTGGTGGCTGCCACAAGAACACAACGCCATCACCGGGTTTTTAACACTATAAGAACACGGCATCATAGCCAGCTTATCTTTAGACATGATTTGTCTGTACGAGCTCATACTCTTTTGTGCAAGCCTTACTTGTAAGCTGTGAGCATGTGTGCAGGCTTATCTATTTGTATTCTTCTTGGTACAGTACGCTCAGGGAAATGTTTACAACTCCCCGGGTTTACTTTATCGTTATATTGCTAAGTGTCCATGATTGTTTGAGCGCTGTACAACTGTGCAAACACCTCTGCTGTAGAATCCCGTCGAACCTATGAGGAGTTGAACCCAGTGTGGGTGTTGACTGCTACACGGAGTGTCACTGTGTTTGCTGCTATTTCCATTGGGGAACATGTGTCAAAGTATGCTGTGGGCCTGTGGCTAGATAACGTGTCAGGGTATGTTGTGGGCATGTGGCTAGATTTTCTTACTTCGGCGATGAATTCATAGGAAAGTTGCTCCCTACACCGGAAGTCAAGTCAGCGGAAAAGTGCGAGCTCCGGTGTGGGGAGCAACCAACTTTCCTGTAGATTTTTCTGTAGAGGACAATGGTTGTGTATGCACTAGCGCTGTCCGGATTGATGGAGCTGGTGAAAGGTTTTAGCCTTCCATGTTGCATTTGCAAAGGTTAGAGGCTCGTGTCCAGCATGCTGCAGGCACTTACCAGGTTTGTTACCATCAACAGGATCTCGAGCACCTGTGTGTCTGTCTGTCTGTCTGTCTGTGTGTATGTGTATCTGTGTATGTGTGTTGTCTCTGTTGGTTTGACGAGTAGCTCTCTTAGTTGTATGCATACTGGGCCTTACTGGGCCATACTGGGCCTTACTGGCTACTGTCGACAGTGTACTAGTATAGTGTCTGACTGGCTGTACTGTGGTATCATGGATATTGAAGACTAATTACAAGCCTCTATTTTTATTCATATTAAAGCTAAAAAAAATTCACGGTTCGCGTGAGACTCGGCTGGAAGCCGGGCTTTCCGCATCCGTAGGAACGCCACCACCCTTCAAGGATCAAGGCGCAGCTAGAGGGATTGAAAAAGGAAGTCTGAAGAAAGCTTGACTGCCACCACCCACCACTGTGACTCCGAACCAGGGATTACCTCCAATATAGGCCAGTGGCGAGCTAACACTGTGCTATGTTGTATAGATGTCATCCAAGTAGTGACTGTTCAACATGTTCTTCAGGCTAGCTTAGATTATTGGCTTTGTGGCCCTGTATATGTACAGTCAAACTTGCAACTACTGACACTCAATTGGGCATGAGAGAAGTGGTGTTATTTGTGAGTTGTAGTTATTCATGAGTTGTAGTTATTTATGAGGTTGAACGTATGTAGTCTAATGGTTACGGTAGTGACAAGTTCTGAAGATAGCCTGTGTGCCGTTATCCACGAGCTGCTGTTACCCGCGGTTACTCTAATTTCAGAAATTTTCGGTGCTCAATATTTTCGGTATGAGGGCAAAAGGCCAGGTTAAAAAATTTAAAAAAAATTTCACGGTTCGCGTGAGACTCGGCCAAAGGCCCAGTTTTCCGCATCCGCAGGAACGCCACCACCCTCTTGGATCAAGGCGCAGATGCAGCTCCTAAGCGGTGGGAGGTGAGTAGATTAGACCCACCACAAAGTGGTCAAAGACCGAAATCCCAGGTTAGAAAGGCCAGGTTAGGTGAACAGAAATTTTCGGTACAGAGAAGCAGTTCCCTATTGGATTATGTGTGTTAGTGTTTGTTCGGTGTATTGAAATTTTAGGTATGAAACAGATGCACCAAAAGTACCGAAAATAAAACGGTACACCGAAAATTTGTGACATTACAGTATTCACCAGGCTAACTGTACATGATTGTATTTGTTGTTGGTTGACCGTATGTAACTATTGTCTAATACCATGAATATTACTCATAAAAAGGACACACCTCAGGCTCTTTACGAACATCTTGAAACCATGAATTCTATGAATGATTGTACATGTATTTGTACAGTACATGATTGTATTTGTTGTTGGTTGACCGTATGTAACTATTGTCTAATACCATGAATATTACTCATAAAAAGGACACACCTCAGGCTCTTTACGAACATCTTGAAACCATGAATTCTATGAATGATTGTACATGTATTTGTACAGTACATGATTGTATTTGTTGTTGGTTGACCGTATGTAACTATTGTCTAATACCATGAATATTACTCATAAAAAGGACACACCTCAGGCTCTTTACGAACATCTTGAAACCATGAATTCTATGAATGATTGTACATGTATTTGTACAGTACATGATTGTATTTGTTGTTGGTTGACCGTATGTAACTATTGTCTAATACCATGAATATTACTCATCAAAAGGACACACCTCAGGCTCTTTACGAACATCTTGAAACCATGAATTCTATGAATGATTGTACATGTATTTGTACAGTACATGATTGTATTTGTTGTTGGTTGACCGTATGTAACTATTGTCTAATACCATGAATATTACTCATCAAAAGGACACACCTCAGGCTCTTTACGAACATCTTGAAACCATGAATTCCATGAATGATTGTACATGTATTTGTACAGAATCCGAGTGTGGAGCCAGTGTTACTTTATATGTTATAATGCTGAAGAGAGCAGCTGGGAGCAGGAGGCAGTTCCAGTATCGTTAGTTTATAGGTACAATCTGGTATCAAAGATACCTTCTCAATGCTGCCGGGGCTCTAGATACACTGTACTAGATAGAGATTGTTCTGGTGTGATTTGTAAGCGAAAACTGTACTGAGACTTTCCGATAATGTAGCAAACATGCAGTATGTTTGCACCTAGGGGCTATGTGCAACCCATGCAGTGTAGCAAGGGCTGTTGTGTTGCTCAGCTGCATGATTCTCTTTCATTAGCAGATTGCAGCATTGTGTGTACATGTAGAGGTGGATGGCTATTTCCCTGTTGGTTTGTAGAGTGCGATTTGAGTAGCGAGATCAGCACTCCTATGTGATCATCAGGTGTTGACTTTCTGGTGTGTGTGGGGGGGGGGGGGGGCAGGGGTAAATGGATACAATGCAGTTAGATCCTAGGACAGCTACCTTGATGCTGCCCCTTTCAGTTCTGCATCTTGTCCTCACCCACTTACTAAGGTGTCACAGTGAGTCCATATTAAAGTGGGATCATCTCCATGTCCACCCCGCAGAGTGTGGGGGGTTCAGGGTGTGTTGTAGCGTCTGGAGACAACGAGACGGGTAGGTGTAGCTTGAATTGATGTGCTGGGAAGTCCCATTGTATCATGTGAGCATGTGTGTTTGTGAAACGATGTGAGGACATTTCATTACATGTATCATATGGGTGTGTGTGTGTGTGTGTGTGTGCGTGCGTGCGTGTGTGCGTGTGTGCGTGTGTGCATGTGTGTCCCATATGGTGCAGTGGTATGTGCAGCGATTTCCAATCGATAGGTTGCGGGTTCGATTCCCGACGATTATGGTCACACACGTCTTTCTTCTCTTTCTCAGACTCCTCCAGACTTTTCTTTCATTCTCCTGGGTGGTTACCAACAACCAGTGCATGCCGGAGTATGTGGTGTGATGTGTGTGCGTGAAAAAAAAAATGAAAAAGACCAAAAAGTATGGCCAGAAAAGCCACTTCATAGCTGTGTGGTGTAGACCAGGCTGAATAGTGGTGGTCAATTCTTCAGCCTTGCAAGCTGTTGAATGGTGCAATCCCAGTACAAGCTGCTATGGCTTCTGCTGTAGCATCGCTATCATCGCCTCTGGCGATGGGCGTCCAATGGTCCAATGATGTGTGCGTGCGTGCGTGCATGTGTGTGTGTGTGTGTGTGTGTATGTGTGTGTGTGTGTTTTTGCGCAGGCAAGGGTGACCGAGTCGCTGCTAGCACCACTCAATCCAGACTCTGATCCCGGCGCATTCCGTGCGCGCTCCGCATCCTCCATGTTCTACATGCAACCAACGGCAGAGAAGTTTCACGAGGGATTTCTCTACAAGCGCGGTGGCATACGCAAGAACTGGAAGATGAGATGGTTTGTCCTGAACAGCGAGGGCATGGAGGTAGGTCTGTGTTGCCACACGCCCAGTGCCCATAGGTCAGTAGCCTGCCGATTTTAGAGGCATGTCACAACCTGCCGACAGTTGATCACTGTAGTGTTCACGTGTTCCTACGCGCTGTGGCATTCCTTGGCCACTCCAGACATTCATGATGCATGTAGTAGTAGCAGTACATCGTGATGTTATGCATGTAGCATGTGCCGTTTCCCGCGCGCGCGTGAAACGGACTTCGCGGCTTTTAGTTGCTGTGCATGGTTTGACTCTGGACTCTTGTTGTTTTGGACTGAAGAAGAAACAATACTACAATCACCTGTCGACAATGGCAATGAAAATGTACAACCTCGACCTTCTGCTTGGTTTAGAGAAGTCATGATCCAGATTTTTGCTTTTCCTGGCCATCATGAGTGTGAAGTTCCATAGCCCATACACATCATATGCAGGTACTGGCGGGTGGTGATCTGTTCAGCATTGACTGAGATTACTGGCCTAGATGACTTTGAAAATTGGGTCCGATACATACCAAAATGTCACGTATAAAGGCCGGGTTTTTTCTGTGGAAGTCGACACTGTGCTATGCATTCTACTCAAAGCAGGATTGTATTCGAGCCGGGTATTCATATGTATGTCAACAGTAAAATCAGGCTGATGTGCCGCCAGTGCATCTTGAAAGTCAGGCTTGTAATAAAAAACAGGCTTTTATAATTACAAGACATGCTCAGTCTAATAAAAGACACTACGGTAACTGAGGCTGTGGATCAAAATGTTGTTAAAAATATTTGGATGATGTCATCAATAACAACTACAGTACAGCAGCGTAGGCAACTCCTTGGCAACCAAGGGTGTAAATTTGGTGTGAAATCCAGAGGTTTCGTACATTTACTCTGGTCTTCCCCCATCACACCTTATTTAGTGTGGTATCATGTGACACCACTGATTAGCCTGCACATCGATCTCTACTTCCTGCGCACTCTGATACTGCTGTTCCTGCATGCAAGCCAGAAAACCAGGTAACACACATAATTGGGCACTTACTTCGAGTATGATAACTTCTCCAAAAAAAAGAAAGAAAAAAAAGAAAGAAAAGAAGGAGTAATCAAATACATGTACCGGTACATGTATTCAGTATCCGCGGCGTTGTTTCATCCGCTAGCGCCAAGTTACCGATGAGTATAGAAACGACTTGCTGAGCATGGACCTGGGTGGATGATAGACCAGCTAAGGCAGCAGCTGTGCTTACCAAGTACATGTATGTGCCATACACTGGGGACTGGATACAGCTGTGCTACACTATGTAACAACAGCCTTCGTCTTCATAGTAATTCATAAACGGTGTCATGTGCAGTCAACTTCGCTGATAACGACTGCGAATATAACGACAATTCGCAAATAACGACAGAATGTCCATGCCCAGAGCAAAGTTCCATCCAACTGTAATACATAAAATGAGACTTCGGGTATAACGACACTTCGCGAATAAGGACACTTTTTTGATGCCCCGCCGAATGTCGTTATAAACGAAGTTGACTGTATACAGTCTAACGGAGTGTGTGCCTGCGTGTGCACATATATGTGTGTGTGTGCGTGTGTGCGTGTGTGTGTGCGTGTGTGTGTGTGTGTGCGTGCGCATGTGTGTGTGTGCGCGTGTGCGCACGTGTGTGTGTGTGTGTGTGTGTGCGTGTGTACGTGCGCATGAGCTTATGCGTATGTGCATGCGCGCATGCATGTGCACATGTCTGTGTTAATGTGTGCTTGTGTTCAGCTGTGTTACTACAATGCCTTCCAGGAGACTCACTTGCGAGGCACCATTGACCTGGAGGAAGTAGCCGAGGTCAACAAAGCCCCTGTGGCTGCAGGAGCACCACTGCAGGAGAATGGAGCGGTGGGATCGTTCTTTGAAGTGAGTACACTGCCTTATGTTGTAGTAGAGTGCACCCCATGGCCCAGAACACATAGACTGATGAATCATGCACAAGAGTTTTGTCCTGAAGTATGCAAGGACGGTCCTTAGCTCCAGTACTGGTGGTGATAGTCAGTCACGGTCCTTAGCTCCAGTACTGGTGGTGATAGTCAGTCAATTTTTTCTTCAGACTTTTCCCGTTTGCAACTTGCGCAAACTTGTGAATACGTGTGCTGCGCCCTCTTACCCCCCCCCCCCCCCCCTTGGCTAGAAGCCTGTAGTACATCGCTGTTGATGTAGGTTTCCAACTTTCCACCGCTACTCCCCTACTCTTGTAACTTTTAAAAAACATCTTCATTTCATATTCTCATGATGCACACAGATCGTGACGCCCAAGAGAACATTCCTGTTGATGGCCACCAATGACGAGCTGTGCCAAAAGTGGATGGGGGCTATCAATGGTAGCATTCAGCTGCAACGCAACCTGATCGCGCATCCATCCTCTTCAGGCACATGATACCGGTAATGATTGTTGAGGCGAGATTGTTTATTTTATTTTTTTATGACTGTAACCGTGGTCACAATATCACCGTCGTTTGTCTGCATGACATGCTTCTTCTATGCTGTTAACCGAGAAAAAACTGTTTGCGCTGGTTGTAGTTCGCAATTTGTGAGCGCAGCCTTGTAGCTAGAGCTTGCTCCTGGACATGTTTGCGACTGGAGTAAAAAAAAATAGTTTTTCCACTTTTTCTACCCTTCGCCTTGCTTCGGATCATGCCAGTTTACTTTTGCAATCAATGATTTCACACCCATTGCACAAAACGAGAATGTTTCCAGAATTAGAAGTAAGGTTTCCTGTTGTTTTTAGTATCAGTTTGCTGGTTTGGGACATTCCGACAGAATATATCTTGCATAATTATATCTTCGCATTCAGCCACTGCAATATAGGGTCACCGAAAAATAATGATAATTCTGTAGGTCATTGTTATATTTTACGGTCTTACCATGTTGTAGATTACCCCCACTCCCCTTTCATACCTGACCAGGGTGTCCTCACACAGAGTATTTGTTAGTATTCGTTTTGTTCATATTTTTCCCGTAGGTTTTCTGTATTCTCTGTACATTTTGTACAATTTTTCCTGGTTTTGTGCAAATCATGCAGTGAACATTGCAAATAAATACAAAAAATTTGAAATAAAATTATTGTGTAAACAAAGCAATAAAAAAGACCTGTACATACAGTTAGATTGATAATTAATTTATATACAATATGTACATTCCTACATTTTGTACAAAAAGGATACCTACCTATCAACAGCTAGGTGATCATGTTTTATATACAGAAATAATAGTTAGCAAGAGGACAAGAACCTACAAAATGACACAGGCTATGTTGACCAACCTACACCTTTAGCTTAGCCGACAGTGTATCAAGACTGGGCAATGAATCGACCGGGCCGATCGCTACAAGTGCTGGTCGCTTGTTCAGGATACGACGTGAACAAGCATCCATGACCCATTCGGCCGTGACAGCCTCGAGTCGAGCATCCACCTCAGCTAGCGGCATGCGACGGCCAAACACCAGCAGCTGACGGCCAATTTCCTCGCAGATACTGGCGGAAGTGTCGAGATTCGAGAAGAACTGCGTCTTGACAGTTTGGACGGCCTTGCGCACTTCTTCCTCCGTGACGTGCTGGCAAAGTCGTTTCCACTCGTCGAGAACAGCCAGCGCAGTGTGCTCGACACCCGTGGGATCAGCAGTATAGTACGTACCCCATAGACCAGTGTCGGCATAGCATGTCAACGGCGAGGTGTACGTATGGCAGCCTTCACGCCGGCTGAGCACCTGTGCCAGTGGTGCCTTGGGCGAGACCTCCATGCGATTCCAGTCGCCCATCAGCACGTTGGCTACTTTGAGTGCAAAGAAGTCCGGATCAGTCCAGCTGCAGCCCTCCACTGCAAGAGCAATGTGAGCCAGCTGCATGTCCATGTTGCTCAGCCGCTTCTCGTTGCCCACAAACTTGCCGCGAGGTGGGTCAGGCATAGTGCGTGCTCCGGCAAGCTTCGCACCAGCATGCCAGTAGGTCTCAGCGGCATTCACCAGCGCATCATGGTCCACTCCACCAGCAGCAGCCAGGATCATGTGACGCGCACGATAGTGACTCTCCACAAACTCTATCAGCTGCTCGCGGCGCAGCGTCTTGATGTTGTGTATCGATCCGAGGATAGTCTGCTCCAGCGGGGTGCCCTCATAGGACACAGCATGCAGATAGTCAAATGTTACCTGTAATGGATACGTACAACAAAAACATGTACCCACATTTACAGTCAATTTTGCGACAGTCAATGTTACCACTGTAGGACACTCTACAGACAATGCACATTATTATGGATAATGGAAGCAAGGACAAGTGCAACGGTTGGCCAATAGGCATGCATGTATGCTTACAGAAACATCTGCTAAATTCAAGTTCTAAACAAGTCAGCATCGCAAGAAATTCAAGGGCAGATATTTACTAGTATGTGATATTGACGTCCTACGACTGGGCTAGCAACTCTCTGCAACATGGTTTCATCAGGAACCAGGCATTCTGAAATTCCACAAGTTAGGTCCGAATGAAGTTTCCTCGGGGACAAAAATGTAAGAAAGAAAGAGCACTAAGAAAGAGCACACACTTCACGTTCTTCAACAACAACATTTTGAAAAGTTTCACAAGTAAACTTTCGTGCCTAGGCATGAACTTTTCAAGATGTTGATATTGAAGAACCTGAAGTGTGTGGTCATTTTTGTTCCTAATAGTGATAGCTAACCTCATCCATCATGTTGTCAATTTCTTGGGATTCACGAAGAATGACGTCGCGCTCACTATCCACATCTTTCTTCGTGACCAGCGGATGCTGGATGATATCCGACAGCATATTGACAACCTGCCGGCAGCACAGGAAACGTGCACATACATGTCCACAGACGCACGCACACACACACACACACACACACACACACACACACACACACACACACACACACACACATGCATACATGCACACACATGCAAATACACACACACAGATACACATACACACAGATACACATACACAAAAACACACATACCGGTATACCTTGTTTGGGAGTTCAAGAGAGATGAGCTTTAAAAATAGCTACTGGAGAAGCAAAACGGCACCTTGATAGGGTCACGCACCGTACAAGCTATGGCATGATTTTCTCAAGCACCGCACAAGATACATGTATGGCATGGCCTGGTCAGATATCGTACGAACTACGGCATTCAATATGCATTTAAGTACAACATGTGATTGCAACGAGACGTGGACTGTTAATAAGGGACGAGGGAAGGCACGAAAACGGCACCCTAGACACAACGTGGAAGGTTAACCCTTGTATTCCGGGTTCATAATATTACCCTGCTGCATGATGGCGATCAGTGCACACAAGGTTGTTTCGTCCCAAGAAAACACACAAACAATTACCAGGTCGATAGCACTATCATGGCTTTCATACTACAATGTATGTACTCACCTCAGGCATACGTTCACGCAAGGCGCTGCAGTAGAATACAGTCTGCTCACGGCTGGTATAGGCGTTCAGCTGGGCACCCATGTTCTCCACCTCTACTGCCAAATGTGCTTGAGTGCGATTTCGTGTGCCCTTGAAGGCCATATGCTCGAAGAAATGTGCCATTCCATTGTTGGAGGAGTTCTCCACCCGAGAACCTGCGTCTATCCAGAATCCAATCGTAACCGTCTCTGTACCCGTATCTTCTGACGCGACTCGCAAGCCACTGGGCAAGGACGTTACCAACGTTGGTGGCTGTTCAAATAGAGAACGACGATATACCTCCTCTGGAGCCAAATTCACAGCAGCGGCTGACTGCGCTCTGGAAGTGACAACAGACGGCAATTTAGCAGATGTCCTTAGCACGGAAGAAACAGCCCTGGAGGCCATGATACTTTAACTACCAAGAGGAAACAACCACCTGAGAAGAACAAAATACTAAAATTGAGATTGAATGTGAGCCAACGAAAAAAATATTCTCAACTGCACTGATCAGATTGATTGACAAACAAAAAGTCAAAAGCTCTGTCACGGCTGTTAGCTGCACTTGGATCGCGGCAACTTAGTTTTCTGCACGTGAACCATGAAAAATCAATGCATGCTCATGCATGTTCATGCATAACCAGTCAGCTGGCCTGCTCGCCCACGCATTTGACAGGTAACAATTCCATCAAATTTGAGATATCGCCTCGTTCTAAGTCTCAAAACAGTTCTAAAGTCACCAAACCACGCTGGTAATCGATGGCTATTCAATGTTAACATCTTCAGGAAGACTTCAGCCGTTTCCCGAGAGTTTGGGCATCGTTGCCGTTGTTTTTCACGGTGTTCTTCTTCCTCCTGTCTGGAGCTGCAATTGCATCCTGGAATTATTTGAAAGGTATTTCGTGCGGGCTATGGGGGGTTCCAACAGGCATAAACTGACATCGCTATAGGATAACTGGTAACTTTCACCTTTCAAGGAGGTAGAGCAATGAGAATTTTTTTGTGGCGGTCGTCCAATTTTTGTGGCGGTCGTGGCTGTATTTGTGCACTTCCAAGGCTTTCATTCTGCTTGATACTACTCTCTACTGTATGGGAATCGTTGTTTAGGCACATGTAGCTGTCTTATTTGGTAGATCTGCTGTTTTCAATCACTTGGGACACTTTGTCTAGCCTATTTGTCTTTCGTTCGTGCCATCTATCAGTTTTGTGGGGTGCCTTGACCTGTATTTGTGAAGTTCTCGAGTAAAGACCCTAATTCTTGACTGGAGTCACGTCTTGAATTGAATTTGCTGGGCGAGCCCTCGTTCACGCAGTTGTCCTTATCGTAATAGTCAATATCTGCTTGCTGGACGGACTAGCGACTAGAACAGGGATGACCAAATGGTCCAAGTGTGTACTAGTACGCGATTATTGTTTCCATCATCGTGAAATGAGCGTTGTGGAATTGCAGTCGTCTGCCTTTGGCACTGAGGACATGAGGAGAGTTGATTGTTACTTCTGCTCAGCAATGAAGCGATCATCAGCTCTCTTTGTTCTAATTATTGAGAGGACATACCGGCATCGCAATCAAGTAAAGATTAGGCAAACCTCGCCTACCTCCAAAGAGAGTCGAAGATATTTTCTCCAAATGCAAAGACGATCTTTGTGAGTTTGTGACTTGCATTTGCGTGCATACATGAGCAGGTCGCGGACCACGGCACGTGCGCGGTTACCATGCCATCTCGAACCGACGCCATCTTTCTAAGTTGCCGCTTCTTGACAGCCGTGCTGTATTCGTTGCGCAATATTGACGTCACCCAAAAAAAAAGATGACCTCAGTCACCTCTGCCTTGGCAGTTGACGTAACGTCATCCAGTGCATTCACACTTTTTCACAGTCAGCCGTCCAAGTGTCGTGTCCACAGCAGGGTCCGGTCCACCTTGTTGTAGATACAGGATGTGGATCTGGATCCGGATACTGGATTTGAATACGCAATTAGATTACTACCAAGAGTACATACCCCACCCCCATCTTTTCGTTCGTCCCTCTTGATATTTGTACTTTGTACTGTTGAGGCAACGAACTGAACTGAAATAATACTGAAATAATAGGGACCTTTCGCACCCCGCGTACGGATACGAAACGAATGCTGATTCGTCACCTGGGTTCGAGGATTCGTCAGAGTCCCTGCGGAGAACTCGTTTTCACGAATGGAAGCCTCTTCATTCGTGGCACGCTCCGAATCCGTCAGGTACACATATATTTGGATAGGTACACATGTTTTGCAAGGTACACATTTTTCCCTTGATTCCATGATCCATGCACGTGTGCGTGTAAAAACCCGTACACCAAGCTACCGGCGCCCGCGGCCGTATTCGTAGTTGCCATGCACATTTGCATGACGACTTGCGAAACCTGAAATCTGTTTTCAACGAAACGATTACGAGCCGAATCAAACTTTCGTTTCGCATTCGTTTCGTAGCAAATGCGAAAGGTCCCTAATATAAACCAAACCAACCCAAGACGGCAAGAGTGTGCAACTCGACTATGGCAGTATGGGTGCTGTCCCGACAGAATCTCAAGTTGATGTCATTTTTATGATGCAATACACACTGCACACGTACACAGATTATCAGACGAATCCGGAACCTGTGGTGGACTAAAGCCCATCTGATCCTGTACAAATTATTGCAAAGAAAAACGTGTGATGCGTTGACACCCGTACACATGTTGTAAATCACTGGTGCAAGGAACATTGCATCATAAAATTAATAATGACGTCAACTTGAAATTCTGTCGGCCCGGGACAGCAGGGTATGTGGGAGTTGCACACTCTTGGGGGGTTATGTACTCTTGGGGGGTTATGTACTCTTGGGGGGTTATGTACTCTTGGGGGGTTATGTACTCTTGGGGGGTTATGTACTCTTGGGGGGTTATGTACTCTTGGGGGCTTATGTACTCTTGGGGGGTTATGTACTCTTGGGGGGTTATGTACTCTTGGGGGGTTATGTACTCTTGGGGGGTTATGTACTCTTGGGGGGTTATGTACTCTTGGGGGTTATGTACTCTTGGGGGGTTATGTACTCTTGCTACTCACCAAGAGTACATGTATAATCCCGGGGGGGGGGGGGGGGTATAATTATACTCTTGCTACTGCTATAGTAAACTAGAGTAGAGGGAGACTGTGACATGAACACATACAGGCAGCAGACTTGACTCTCATTTAGGTGCTGCAAAAACTTGCAGACTGTGACAGCGCCAAGGAAACCGAAAAAGACAGGTGGCAAAACTTACCACTACAAAAACTACATTCACGCGACCTTGTGGACGAAGTTAGTACGTAGGTAGAACTTGTTCTTATGACAACACTTAGATACTAGGTGCGATTTCTTGTTGAGGGAGCGGGTCAGTTTATCGTGGGCCACGTGCAACCTCCAGCTTCTCGGCTAGGCCTTAAGTGTTGGAATATGGTGCGGCTCTCCTCACAACTAACCACTCAATGCTGTTTGGCTTTTCTAAGTTTTCTTCATACGTTACCCCTACAGATGTCTCGACGGTCATGTTGAGTTCTCATATTTCCGGTGTGAAATAGGAAAGAGCCTCGGAATTGTCCCTGAATGGAACTTGCCTTACATCGAGTGTTACCATAATGTATGTGACCGTGGGTGACAATATCAAAGAGTACACAGGATTACCAGAAGGGGCATTCAAGACGAGACTCAACGGACATCAACAATCCACTTGACACCGGAAATAACAGAACTCAACACGACTATCAAAATAATATCTCTATGCAGGCTAAACATTTTTTTAATGACGAAGACTAGCATAGGCATGCAGAACTGAGTGGTCGATAGTCGTGAGGAGAGCCGCACCATATCCCAACGACACCTAGAGGAGATACAATTCGATGGTTTGTCTAGCCGAGAAGTAGGAAAACGCATGGGCCAATCAAACCCGCTTCATCAGCAAGAGAGATCAGAGCTTGTATCTAAGTGTTGTCACGGCATGAGAACAAGTTCTACTTTCTTTGTAGCTTTGTCGTGTGAAGTTGTTGGCTATGCCACCTGTCTTTTGTTTCCTTGCTTGTTCTGCCTCGCTTTTTCTCAAGTCTGCCAGCACCATCATTTCATCTGATGCATCAATGTTATACCACCATTGTACTACGACTGGGGCACCCAAACCTCTACCCTCCAGTCCTCAGCTCGCCCCCCGTTATGTTCAGCCTACTGGTCGTGGACGCCAGTTGTCTGTGCAGACCGTGAACTGTGACTCAGAGTTCACCATACCTCTTTCTTTCTGTCTACTGATTGTGTGCTGGACATTGCACTTCTTTGAGAAGTAACATTTTTAATAACTTGATTGAAATCAAGTGTCAAGTCAGGACCTTACCAGAATTGTAAGTGGTTTCCGGTTTCGTCAGTGGTGGTGGTGACTCTGTACTCCGACACCTTTGTGGTCACCAGTACTGGGGTACCGCCATTGCAAGCTAGTACTGGGAAACAGTGCATGACGTCACAGTATGCACGGTGGTGGGATGCAGGCCACATCCATCTACGTCTATCTGAGACTTTGAAAGCAAAATGGCACACCTCGTGTAGCACCTGCTTACTTTTACACTACATACCAAGACGATAATTATCTAGTCCAAAACCTCCCTATACCAAAATGCACAATGCGGAGTGTCGCCTGATCAGGCGCCGACTGCACACGGGACTGTTGGATTTTTTTCCATTTGAGTGTGTTGTGTTCCTACAGTCCATTCATAAAAAGATGGGTCCTGGCTCTGGCGAGCTCCCGTATTTGGCGATTTTTCGTGATTTCATCGTACACAGTGCAGTGCTGCGAACTTTGAAATTTGAAAAAGGGTGCCTGAACTGGGGTTCGAACCGCAGAATGCACTGTTGCAGGCGGGGTCAAACGGCCTGGATTTTGATGGTTTTTCCCAATTCAGTGCTTTTGGGGCAAAACCTGGCCGAAATCCTATTCTTGCTATGGCTTGCTTTTTGGACAAAAAAACTTCAGAAACATAATTGGAAGAGGATTCCATATGGGATTGCAGAAAAAAATTCTAAAAAAACTCAACGTTTGACCCATTTATGGCCAAAAGCTAGAAGTTCATTTTTTTCTGAATGGACTGTAAGTTTCATACGGTATCTCACATTTTGTTGAGCTTGAAAAAAGATATTGTGTCAAGTACAAGAGTACAAGTACAATGTAGTAGTACCTGTGCTGTGGCTGTCGCTTGTAAGGATCCAGGTGATCCCGAATCTAGCGGAGAGATTGACGCTGTATTTCATGTGCTGATAGCTTGACTCCTGGAAGTGACTCGTTACGTATGCCTTGTCCAAAAGTAAGCAATTCGTCGCATAGTAGAGAGTAGAGACCGAGTTGCGAAGAACGCCAGCTGTCGGTGTGATGGACGACGAGCCCAGCCGACTCCTAAAACTGCATGTCTGTAACTTGCTCTAACCGTCGACTGTGGTACATCCGCTGGTCGTGGTCGGCATGCAAGGGCTTGAAGACACAAGACTAGGAGCGTGTTTGAACCGCCGGTGAACTGAACAGGACTAACGTTTGGGCGGAAACTGTTGCTTGTAAGTTAGTTAGTTCCGACAGCCAACCTTGGTTACGTCAACGGGCGACCAAAATGTTCCGGCATCTGGGACGAGGCTCGGTCCTGGCGCTCTGACTGTCTGAGGACCACCAGTACATAGTCATTACAGCACTGTACTGGCTTGGGTTCGGGTTACCGACTAGTTCTCCTGAGGAGAGTTCGCTCAAGGAGAAGAGAAAGCTAACCTCACCATAATGAGAACATACACCGAAAAGAAACTCTGCTTTCCGTGGAGAGCAAATACTGGTGATCACTGCTGACGCTAGGTGCGATGCTAGCTAGGTGCGTTGTAAGTGCGATGCTACTTCATTGTAGTACTAGTAGGTGCGACTTTGACTCGAAAGGTGTGGGCAGCGTGAGGATGGGCGCGGCGCGAGGAGTGGACCATGGGTCCATGATGTGATGATGGACCAGTGAAGGTGTTACCTTCGTAGATCTACGGCATCGGTGTCCACTCGTGACGTTATGGGGGCCGGGGCTGGGAAAACGGTGAAGTGTGAATAGACTACCGCCGTAGTGCCGGATTGTCTGCGCGTGGTGGCAACCACAGGTGCACTCAAAACGCGTCACCAGCTTGGCCAAGAACACGCGCGCCGGACAACGCAGAGGAAGTCCTCTTCATCAGGCCTGGTTGCATGCCAGAGCGAAAGGCCATAGTACTATAGTAGGCCCATAGAATCAACGCTGTCACAGATGTTCAAGGGAAGTAGCCTAGGGCCAGGGTCGATCATGGCGGAAGAACAACTGGCAAGAAGATGGGGCTCCAAGGGATTAGTATTCTACGGAATTGTAAATTTAATACAACTTTGCAGTTTGGTGGTGCAGTCTCCGTCGAAACACCATAAGGCATAGCCCATTCACCAACCAAGAGCGTACAAGGTCAGCGGTGAGGCACACAGCAACCACCGAACGCTAGGTCGTAGATCGAAATGTTGTTTGTTTGACAGCATGAAACAAGGTGGAGGACACTGTGTTCGGAAATTAAATTACGGTACACGTAAAAGCCAGTTGCCTGCTACCAAGTTTATCTTCTCTTGCTGCTACTGTAGTGCATGTCCGTGCCATTCCCGTGACTAGTAGTAGACTTCAAGTAGTAGTAGTAGATCTACATGGCCATGGCATGGGTAGATGTGTGCTTAGCAGCGTGGTATCAAGACGAGAGTACAAGCACATAATCACGATTACCAGCTTTTCACGATCATGTTAGCCACTAAGGTACCACTATACTACTACTGGTTACGTACTCTTGCTGATATCCGCCATTGTTCGTTGGGCAGAACGTAATACTGTATAAAAGCCATTATTCTAACGAGGCGCATATAATAACGATTTCCCAAAATTGACAAGTTTACGTGTACCAAAGGTAACGATTCTCACTCCTTCTCAACGCTCAATAGGACAGCATAATTATGTATCGATTTCTGTATAACGATTTCTATTTTAACGACAGATTTCTCCTCGTTAACTCGTTAGAGTTAGCACTTCGTTCTATATATGGCTTTTACAGTAGTAAATACCTTAGCCTTTTGCGAGAGCAGTTCTTCCGAGGACACGAGAGTAGAGGAGTACTGCAGGTATAGCTTGTGATCTGGGCATGCACACAATCAAACGCTGAACCACTGCCACGTCCACTACACTAAAGTATATGAGAATTCCTGATGATGGAGAGCCACAACGAATCGCCACGATCGCATTGAGTACAGAATAGCATCCTTCCTTCGCGTGCACTGCATATACATGTAGCCGCTAAGCGGACATCTAATGTTTACTCCGTGGACCGGGGCGTGGTGACGTTCACAACAATACATCCTCTCTATTGTCCCTACGTCCGCTCATTCCAGCCACGTCTACCATGGTCTACAGTGCGTCACGTCCTCGGCTAGGTTCCTGCAAGATTCCGGCACGAGGCGATAGGATAGGATCATAGGAGTTCGTGTGGCGACTTCATTATCATGATCATGCAGTCAGCATGTAGCCAAGAACAATAAACGGAACACCACCAGCACGAGTCCAGATCGAAACTTCCTCGAAGGCTAATAATGCTACACTCCATGAGTGGAAATCATCTCACTGACTTCCTTGCGCTTCGTTGCCTTCGAGTCTACAATCCAGGGAGGCGTCGTCGGGGGCCGTCTACCATGGTCTACAGCACTCGAGACTTGGTGTGCTAGTGTCCGTAGCGTCCAGTATCATTTCAGCGCGTGGTTAGAAAGGACAGGAGGAGTTTTTAAAGTCACAGAACAGTGGAAGTGGCTACAAGTCTGTGTGTTGCCCTACACGTTAGAGGGAAGAGACGGTGGTGCAAATATTGCGTTCGTATCGACTTCGCGGCGACAAAAAAATGGCCAGTTCAGAGGGAGGACTATTGGATAGTGCGGACGTTGAGCTTGGCACTGTTCCGTCGCAGCCAACCAATGTGGCAGCAGTATCGACAACAACAGCTAGCACAGGAGAAAGCGCTTCGAGCACTCATCTCGTGTCTAGTCTGCTAGAGGCTCTTCGTCAGAAGGACACAACAGGGCTGGCGGGTATACGTCTCGAAGACCTAAGGACAATAGCGGAGCCCTTGATCAAGGAGTACGTACTTTCAACCGCCGCTGGCTCATCATTGAGCGCTACATCCACAGGTACCCCAGTGGCACCACCATCCTCAGGGGCAGGACCAGCCGCTACAACAACAACCACAACCACCGGCGTTACTGCAACAGCAACTACAGGGAAATTGAGCAAGACTGCAAACATACTGGAGGTGTTTGCCAATGATCAGACGGACGTGGCCTTGATTAGCGGGTTCAGCGGGACAATTGCTTTCCTGAACGCCTCGGCAACGAACAGCTATACAACGGACACACACACAACGGTTGACACTGCCCTAAACTCCACAACGACTTCCGTGTCCCTAGGCACCACTTGTTCGGACGTTGAAAGAGCAATTGGCTGGAGCTTCTGGGGGTTGGTCATCATAATCTATATTCTACGACATTTCGTCATTGACAAGGCGAAATACGAATCGCGGCCTATGTGGTACCGCGTTGTACGCTGTGTGGTTTTCGCCCTCTTCCTTCTGACCCTGAACGAACAGCCATTGATGTGCGAAACAAGTCTGGACAATACCTACAGTGTTAGATACGCTCAAGCAGCGCTCTGGACTGGTCTGGCCCTGTTCGCAGGCAATGTCCTGGCTCTGCCCACGGTCGAGAAGGCCTATGACAAGCGCAAGGAGCAAAAGGAGTCGAGCAAGGTGGCGGTGCGTGTGGAAAGCAGTGAACCACTAATGGGCACAACTGCTGCAGCTACCGCTAGTAGTACAAGCACAACCTCCACCACCAGCATCGGTCAAGCCACTCCCAAGCCCTCCGTCCCCATATGACCGGCGGCGCCTGTCGAATAGAAGTGCAGCCCGCAGGCTTGGGACAGTGCAGCAGTCGCTACAAAGTAACAAGCAGTCGTGTCGCATTTGCCTGTAGGCTGTAGTCTAGATGTTACGACTTCTTGGTTAGCAGTCATTGAACTAACGTTACATTGCATGCATTTCATCACACCCATTGTGTAATACCACCAAGAGTAAAACAGCTCTCTACTCTGGATCTTATGTTCTCTTGACACCACGTATCAAGGGTTCGTTTTGTACAGTAGATCCTCCCTAGCCCTTATCTGTCCACTTTGCGGGACATGCAAGAGTGCATTGGGGGGGGGGGGGGGGGGGGGGGGGGGGCGGCTGCAAAACTTGAAGATGCACGGATATTGTGACTGGGAAAAGGTGGAAAAGTGAAATCTCGTGGTGAGATAGATCCATTGTAGGACGAAAGGTACTTCACAATGATGTGCACACCGTGTACCAGGGAGTAGTAGTTGTACCGGTACAATAATGGCAATGTATTGTACTGCTCCCTGGTGCACACCAACATTGAAAGCACAACAATGTTTGTGAATTTTATCACCTCCAAGACCACTCTCACACAGTCTAAGTTACTCTAAGTGCAACCAGGCGAGGTTCAGGGCAGGCACAGTGCAACCTGGTACAAAAACCAGCCAGCAGCACCAAGAGCCTCTCAGTCTCAGCTGTGTCGGATACTACATTGTAGATCTACCTGTAACCCGTTCTTGTGTAACAGCGCAAATCGGCAAGGTTGGGTTTCCGTAGATATCGGTGATATCAATAATTGTACAATACATTGTGTAAGCAAAGTTCAGACTCCGCAGGGATTACACTTTAATTAAAAGTAGTTTTAAAATACATAATTCGATTCAAGATGAATCTGGAGTCCAGGACGCTTCCTGCACTTTCCCCGGATAGCCAATTGGCCCCAAAAAAATAAAAATAAATGTAGTATTTCAAGTGCTCTTCTTGATTGGTGGCTGAGTCATGAACATGATTGTCAGCATAGATTACACCAAGAGTACAATCATAGAGGTGTTATGCACTCTTGGTTACACGGACTACAAGTAGGGCCAAAGATTGACTCGACTTGAAGCGGCAAACATCTAGTTTCCCTATGTCAACTTTACTTTCTCGGGGAATATTTTCACCAGGAACAGCGTGGGGTAACTCACAACATTACAGCGTGAACAGGACATGCACGTGAGAGCTGCACAATCTCAGGTGCGTAGGTTGGAGGTGGTCTGGCCGGAGGGGGGGCTCCCCGGGGAAACAATTGAAATTTAATAGGGTGCAAAATCCTGCATTCTGGGCGTGGTCGGGCGAAAAAGTGGACCGGCCGGACCGGCTGCTACGCCCCTGAATCTAGATCTGCAAAGCACCAAATGTCTCTTCAAACTTGAAAGCAGGGAGCATGTTTGCCCTTTTGCCAAGCTAAGCCATGGGGTACAGGCTCGTCCTCCCTGCGTGAAACTCGAAAGCACCTAGTCATGTAGATCTACGGTACTGTATATGCACATACTGACATAGCCATGGTCGGCGGAATACGCAGTCTGGCTCTTCCGGACCTCCCAGCCGTAATATTGGTTATAGCTGGAGCTGAGGCTACAGTTCAAACAAACAAGCTATAATTTGGGCCACAGCCAGCTAAAACAGATCTTGTAGAGTGAAATGTTTCAATTTTGTATTCTAGAAAATTGTCACTTGCCTCACCAGCTGCTTGAACTAGACTGCCAAACAAGAACAAAGCCCGGCAAGATGCATGCCATCACCTACAGCATGAATACGCTCGACAGAAACAATCCTTCATTCGGTCATGTGTCAAAAAAGTTTACGAAACCCCAAAGATATGATGTTTTAGCTGACTGCGGCCCATAATATAAATCTGAACTGGGAGGTCAGCAAGAAATGGGTGAGATGTGGGGGGGTTCACAAAGCCGTACCTCTCCATTTCCTGTTGTTGTTTGAATTTGAATTATTATTCTCACGATGGCACCATCGCCAATAAGAGATAATTAATTTTGTTATTTTTGTTGTTGTGTTGACCTACACCGAAAGTGCTGAACTGAATTCTTCTATACGCTTGCTGAATACTCGTGCCACTCAGAGACAGTCACATCCAGGTGATCCAATGCATACAGCCATACTGTTCATGTCGACTTTCTTGACCAATGGTTGTAAACACAAGGAAGGGATCTGTGTTCAAATGTAGAGAGATTCAAAACTCTGAAATACCATCAAGCAGCACACTGTATTGCGGTACGTTGGCAAGTGAAGTACGACCTCTATTTCCCCACAGTGCTGTGCAAGCAGGGTTTGCTTGCTCCATGAAGATCTGTCAACATGCCTGTGATGCATGCCCATCCTGTTCGCTGATGCAGACAGAATAGTTTTTTTCCATGGAAATAGAAAATTAGTCTCTATGCGCCGGCATATACACAGGGGTTGCAACGTCGTACGTTTTCAGTGGACAGCGGACAGGAGGTGGGATTTCATTTACCACTGCTATACTACAATCACACAGTCACACACACACACCACACGCGAGCGGACACACACACACACACGCACACACATGGGTAGGAGCAAGAAGAGGTGTGTGAATCGGTATCAAAACAGTCTCAGCGAGAGCATGGGCGACCAATCGGCCGGACAAGCAGATCTTCAGAGAATGGGACGTTCAATTGCTGTTGATAATATTGGGGAAGGGGCAGAGATTTGTTTTCTGTTCTGTAACAGTCACTTCGCCAGAAACGATTTGAGGTCATGAAGTAGCATTATGATAAGAAACGATAATGTACATTGTTGGCACAGCCGACAGCAGCACATAATCCACATACACTTACAAGTATCAACAGACAGAGCTAAAACCAAAAGCAAAGCAAGAAACAGCTTTTGCAATAAATGAACGCACAGGGCCCACAGTTTTTAAGATTTCTACTTCTCTGATAGCACAGGTGTACCTAAAGTCCTTCTTCCGTCGCTTCTTAGCGGAAGTCCTCTGCACTAAACATACCCTGCAAAGGCACATGCACACACCCAAACCAAACACACACGACAGAAAACACTGTCTTACCCAAAGTACACTGACAACCACAACTCGGCACAATAGAGATTGCTAATCACACAAAACCAGATGGGCATTACATGTATAAGCAAGAGTACTGTAATTTCACAAGTTTTCGGTGTACTGTACTTTTATTTTCGGTACTTTCGGTGCATCTGTTTCATACCTAAAATTTCAATACACCGAACAAACACTAACACACATAGGCCAATAGGGAACTGCTTCTCTGTACCTAAAATTTCTGTTCACCTAACCTGGCCTTTTGCCCTCATACTGAAAATATTGAGCACCGAAAATATCAGAAATTAGAGTATATAAGCCCCCAAGAGTGTGCAACTCCTGATACCCTTTCTATGGGGTTTGCCGACGGCGAAAACTCACATCACGTGATGCAGTGTCGCAGTTGTACGTTTCCAGCCCGTTTTTAGCGTGCAGCGGAGTTACAAAAAAAGCACTCTCTGACAGGAACTCACTGCGCGTATGCAAATCTCCAGCATGATTATCATGATCATGGCAGATATTCGGGTTGCGCGCACGCTATCCTTCGCTAGTACGTACTACAAAACGTACCCGAGACACGTGATGCGAGTTTCCACTGTCGGAGACAAATATGCAGAGTTGCACACTCTTGGTACAAGTAACACATACTGGATCAGGCAACCAGGAGACACTAATCTCAATATAGCCAGTCATAAAACAATGTGCGCGCTCATATTACAAACACAGCAACGGTAGTTGAGCTCCAGAACTCTTTTCTTTGTCACACTTATCGATGGAATCCTTGAATGACTGCAATTTGACAATGAAAGTACGGTATTTCGCTCGCGCCATTGTAAGCCGCATGGTTCGCACAGGGCCTTAAAAGTGCTTGAATTTTGAAAAATCCTTTAAGGCCCTTGAATAGTTCTTGAATTTTGGATCAAAATTGACACCTCAGACCATGGTCACACGTGTCTTTGGCGGGACTTCCACCTCCGCCGTAGCTGTGTATGACCGCGGCCTTAGCCTTCTAAAAACGGTTACTTTTTTTCCGTTGACGTCGTGCTTGTCGAACATTGAAAACAGCTTTTGGTCGACTCGGGCTTCCATCAATCACTTTTGTTTTGTTTCCTGTGACACCAAGAAAATGGGCAAGTGCTCGTTTCAAGCGAAGTGGCTCGAGGAGCAGAAGTACCAGTCATGGCTGGCTGGCGATTCGGATAAACACCGTGCTCGGTCTAAGCTGTGCAGAACGACTTTCTCAGTCGCCGCCATGGGCGAAGCTGCCCTTAGCAGCCATGCTGACGGGAAAAAACATCGTGAGATGCGTCCCTGCGCCAGCTCATCAGTTGGCATGAGATCGTTCCTGCCCCAGCAGCCGTCATCGCCGTCGTCTACTGCAGCTGCTGCAGCATCAGCTGCTCCAAGTTCAACCTTGGTGCAATTCGTCAGCACTAGGGAGACGCTGAAAGCCGAGGTCCTCTGGGCTCTGACTGTCATTGCCAAAAACTTCTCGCTCCGAAGTTCGCAAGGAATGAGGGCCTTGTTTGCAGAGATGTTTCCGGACTCGGCCACCGCAAAGAAGTTTCGCTGCGGTGAGCGGAAGGCCAATTACATTGCCACGTACGGCATCGCTCTGTACCTGCAGACTCTTCCCATGTCAAAGGTGAGTTTCTTTGTCGGCAGAGCTACGAGCAGTACTTGAGAGACGAGGCGGAGAAGGCAGTAGCCTCTGAGAGCCGCAAGCGGAAGGCTGATACGACTGTGGAGCTTGAGGCCAAGAAGAAACGCCTCACCCACACCATTGCCACCTTGCAGAAGAGTGCTGATCAGTATGCTGATGATGCGGAGCGAAGCGGTGACCCGGCCTTGATCACTCAGTCAAACAGCCACCGGCGAGCGGCCAAGGAGAAGTTAACGGAGCTGCAGGCTATTGATTCACAATTGAAAGACCTGCAGTGATGTGTGTGCGTGTGTGTATGTAGTTGTGTGTAGTTGTGTGTGTGTGTGTGTGTGTGTGTGTGTGTGTGTGTGTGTGTGTGTGTGTGTGTTTGTTTGTTCAATTCTTATTGAACTCTTCAGATCATAATGGCCACTGGTTGGCCATGTATTATAATTCCTGATATCTAAATGAAGAATATATGGTGAGGTCAGACTAACGTATGGTAATGATCGTGTTGTGTGTGTGTGTGTGGGGGGGGGGGGGGGGGGGGGGGGGATGAGTGAAAAATGATGGGAAAATGGGCCTTGACATTTTTCTCTGTGTTTTCGTCCGAACCATGAAGCCGGTGGTAATGTGGACGTGTGAACTTTACTTCTACAGCTGTAGTATAAGCCGCACTTTGAACACTCAAAATTCACCCCCCCCCCCCTCCAAAAATGGGGAGGGGTTCGGCTTATACTCTGATGATCAAAGTAACGGTGATAAATAGGACAGATGTCTGTATTTCATGGCAAGGGGGGGGGGGGGGGGGGGTGCGGCTTACACTCTTGGAAAATACTGTAATATGCGGTGACCAAAAATTACTGGAATAGTGTGAGTACGGTTTAATACATTTACAAACGCACCTGACATTACACCTTGCTGCGATCTTTTCTGACTGGCACATCTTCTTCTCGACTGTACATCTATCTAATACCAGTGTGGAATTTTAGAATCATGTGCTTTTGTGTACGTGTACCGTATTTTTCGGAGTATAGTGCGCACCCCCAATGAAGATTGAAGTGCGCACCCCCAATCTTCATTGGGGGTGCGCACTTCAATCTTCATTGAAGTACATGCATTTCATATTCGGAGCATAGTGCGCACCTGCGATTTAGGGCACAAAATAGCACATCTAAAGTGCGCACTATACTCCGAAAAATACGGTAATCTCTTTTCACTCCGTGTGTTCATGTTGTTGTTTCACCATTCCCTTCAGTCATAATATTCTATTGTTAAGTGTGACAAGAAATCATTCTGCAACTCAACCTCTGTTCCTGTGTTTGTCATGTGAGTATGCACATTATGTTATTCATTGCTACATACTGGATCAACCGGTTTTTTTTCCTTACGACAGAATATATCCTTCAATACGCATACACACACACACACACACGTGCGCATACGAGACCAAGGACAAACAAACGGGCAGTGCTCTGCTGTCGCACTGACCTTTGCTCTTCGCAGAATAGAATCCTTGCTAGGGTCATACGGATGCTCCTTGGATGGAATCTCAAGCACTGATGGTATCGTCTGATCATATCCATCTAGAACATGGCGGATCTCCTGGCCAATCTATGTGTGACATAATCATAAATAAACATACGGAGAGAGAGAGAGAGAGCCAGCCAGCCAGCCAAACAACATAAGACTCCATGCAGTTCCTTTTCATCAGTAGAGAAAGAATGCCTCCGGTTCCCTAGCAGAATCCATTCTACATGTACTGCCAAGAGTACATAACCAAGAGTACATAACCGGGGGCTATGTACTCTTGGTAGTACTAGTATAGTACAAAGAGATAGTAATCCGTACATTTCCAGTATGACAGCAAATCGAGGGCACACTAGCGCAAGCTCTCTTCTTACATATAGCATGCTACGTGACTGATGGAAAGTGATGTAACAAAGAAGAGGAATCAACATGTCCTGCATTGGTGTACGGCAACCTTTGCTCCAAGGACACCGTACACTGCACATAAGTTGTGCCGCACCAACTATCAGTCTTCAACTCTTAGCAACGAATGCGACACCTCAATGATGGCGGTGAGGGGACTAGACCAATAGCAAAAGCACCAGTGCCGAAACCCAAAGTCCTGCTGGGAAGCGGAGGGGAGTTGTTCCACCAAGCTGCAAACCAAAGTCAATTTTGATTTCTCAGCCTAGCACGAGGGGGCACGTGGACGTGAAAAATGTGATGACGATGTACCACTAACAGTGACATCAGCTATATGCCGGTATGACTGATATAGCTCGTCAGTCTGGTACATCACATTTGCGCAACACATGCTATGATGTGGTTGAACGTACCACTGATGCCCAAGGCCGAGGGATTTTCATGTACACTATTGAGTGTGAATAACGGAGGAGCCCATGATGCTTCATTCGCCAGTTATTCCTAATCGTCGCACATACAGTGCGCCATATTTCGGTGTTGATGTCACTGAGACAAGGCCAGAGATCAATATACTGCAAAAGCAGAAATTTTCGGTGGTGTTTTATTTTCGGTAACTTCGGTGCCGACAATTTTTAGTTTTTTACCCAAAATAAAACGCACCGAAAATTTCGGTACAACCGGTACTGTATACATGTAGTACTAGTACACTTACCTGGAAAACAGGTTTTACCGAAAATTTACCTCCACCGAACCGCCGATTTTGGAGAATACCGAAAATATTACACCACCGAAAATTTCTGCTTTTACAGTATGCACTTTGAATGTAAGTGGCCGATTTCAGAGCCCGTTGGATTGGGAATGCTTCACTGTCGTGCTCTTGGACCTAGACTGTTCAACTCAGAACCTCCAGGACAAGTTACAAGATCCTTACGTTGGAGGATGTTATGACATGTGAGCCCAAGTGCATCACCTACTTTGTGTACACTTAGATGTCTTTGAAACTGTAGGAATAGACTGGTCTTGCCTCTTGGTCTAAAGATGCTGCAATACACCATACGAAGAGTACATACCCCCAAGAGTAATTCTGTATATGGGGCCTGGCGTGGCGCGCTGCCCGCATTACATAGCCACGAACTGTGGGTCATTGCGTCAATGTTGATCTGCTACGGTTTCCTGATTCCGAATCCGCTTTCCCTGGAGACTGGATGGTTTTGTACATGATGCGTCACGCACCGGCATTGCCTTTGAACTACCGTATCGCACGTGAAATCATTGAGGCTAAACCGTAGGAAAGCTCAAATCCAGGGAGCTGGATCATCATTTCACTACATAATGCAGGCAGCGCGCCGCTCAGGGCACCCATAGCTCAGAGGTCAGAGGTCAGAGTTGCACACTCTTGGGGTGATGTACTCTTCACCATACAGTATAACCAACAGAACTGGCTCCGAAGTCGGACGTTTTTACCCAATAATGTATGGAGCTCTGGCCTTGGATCAGTGACGTCATTGCTGGGATCCAATGCTGTGTATGCAAATTCGGGGATACCGGTATCTGACAATGACTGAGGCATTGCAGCATGCTGGGATCAAGGCCATTCGACTCCGTGCTCTGAACTCTACAGTTCCTGGCTTTCATTTCTGTGTGTGCTGCATATGTCAATGTGGCACTAGTCAAACACTCAAGAAAGCAATGCACAGTACATATATAATCTACTCAGGCTGAACTACTAATACCCAATATCCTTTCATGACGGTTAGCGTTCATGTACACCGTATATTGTGTAGCAAGACAGTGTGATTTCTGAACCACTAGAATAATAGTCGAGATACAGCTCTATTCCAACGAGTAAAGGAACACTAAAATACTAGTAAATACCCAATGGCAGTTACAAACTCTAATGCGCATCACACAGAGAGTTATTACGTACATGTTGATTGATCAGAATGATAGCCACATCATCTCTCGTCGTGAACTGACGGAAAGCATCTTCGATTTCACTTACTGGAGTATCTATAGTTCAGTACCAACACCAGAGAGGACAGTGATCACTCCGAGCCACAAACTAATCCATCGAAGTCAATGAATCTTGACAAACCTTTCTTGACAACGAAAAAGTTGGGTTGACGTTTTGAATTTATTTCTCCAATTCCACCCAAGAGAAATCCTGTGCACGTATCCTACACGAAAAGAACGCCAAGAGTTACTTCTACAGCAGGTAGTGTACCAGTGCTCGAAGCTGACGTTACCTCGTCGCCGATAACGGCAAGAAGACGACCTGCTCTTGTCTGCGCCATGTTCACAACTCGAGAAATCCCTGCTTGATTGGACTATTTGGAGCTTCTGAGCTGGGCTGATCTGCTGAGTGAACATGAAGATGACAAAGCCCTTCGACGTGCAAGGAAAAACCCGTGACGCGTGACCGCGTACCGGCGGCGATGTCTTGTTGCTACACACTACCAAGTAATTTTCCAGCACTTTTTGCGAATTGGGGAACACTGCGCGGTCTGCCGTGGGGTCTTTGCAGAGAACCAGAGATTTCTCCAGAATTCATCGTAAAGACCAACATAAGTCGTTACTTTACAGTAAAAAAAAAGTAGGATTATACCAGCGCATGCAGCGAATCGATTCGCGAAGCAGGGATGAGGTGCACCGGTGACGTCATGACGACTTAGTGCCGAGTCGTCTACGTCACGCATCTTTGATTCCATAATCCACACATACATCTTGAGTAGGCTGTTCACCATGCATGGAATTCACTGATCTGAGTCTGATCTGCTGAACCCCATATTCCCTCAAATAATTATTTTGTGATCGCGACTTGAGTCAGTATTCAGGGAGCTTATGGTTGATAGCTTCTCATCTGGTGGTTGGGAAAGCAGTTTTGTTTTCTTCATCGTGAAATGATCACGGAAGATGCCCATCGTGGAAGGAATTCTCATCGTCACAACCAAGCTCCGTTGTTGACCAGTCGAGCTGGTCGAATTTTGTTGACATGGTTGTGCACAATTGTAACCACCTTGGGCGCCTATCATGTCCCCAATCACCTTCGAATGTCAGAGAAGGGCAAGGACTTTGCCTTCTTTGTATGGACAGCAAGCCTTCTTGGCTGCATATTGATGGTACTTGCTAACTGGATATCGCCTCGCAACAGGTTGGGAGAATATCAACTAACGTTGCTTTCTAATGTTCATTTGTCACTGCATTGGAATATGTTTTACTCATACATGGGTACATGCACATTTCATGAATAATTGTGATGTGTCTGCAGTTCATGCGCTGCCGGCCAGTACTATTTTTGATTGTGTAATTTTTGAAAAGCGAAGAAATAGTCGCTACCTGCGGTAAATTTCCAAAATTTACCTTGAACAACAATTGGCGGGCACCCAGTACTAGTACACAGGCCCACCCAACCGGGACATATGGATCATTTCCCCGCCGTTTGGATTTGCGGAGCGTACCGTAGTGTCTCGAAATAAACCAGCCTATAAATAGAAGCCTGTTGTTCAAAGACGCATCGTGGGCACATAAGCCTGATTTTACTGTTGGCATACAAAGAAATGCCTGATTTGAATAGTAATACAAGCCTGGTGAAAACACGCCTAGCACTGACATAGACTTGTACAGGCATAAGCCCGGCGTTTATTATAGTTTTTACGCGACACCACAGCATATACATGTACCGTAAAGTACCGTTGATCCGCCCCCTCTCTAATTCCCGCCCCCTGTCGATTTTCTACCTGCGAAGCGACTTCGGCGCATGCAACGAAATACGATGTTGAACCGACGCATGCACTGCTGTACACAATACGTGCCAATCCAGGATGAAAATATGCACGATCCAGCACATCGAGTCTGATCCTCTACGTTGTTGTACATCGTACTGCACTTGACAGCCTTGATCTAATTCCCGCCCCCTGCTGAAAATCCAGCTGGGAAGTGACATGGTGTGGGGGGCGGATCAACGGTACTTTACGGTATATCCACTGCATGTTCGACCATACGCACAGTGCACTGGTGATACCAGTTCTGCACAAAAGATCATGAACTTTGAAAGGTGCTACTCACACAATGTTCTGGAACGGGTTGTACCTGCCGAATATGGGGCAAACTGCCCAGCAAAAATGTGACGGCCAATGCGACACATTACATAGCCCGGAGCTGGGGAATCAGCTGGGGCATTGTGTCATTGATCTGCTACGGCTTCCAGCTTCCTAATACGATTTTCTCTGTTAGCTTTGTATGTGATGCGTCGCGCACTGGCGTTGCATTTGAACCTTGCGTATTATGCGCGAACGTGTTGCTCCTAAACCGTAGGAAAACTCGAACCCAGTCAGCTTAATCTTCATTTCAGTACGTAATGAAAGCAGCGCGCTGTGCAGGGCGTGCACCCATAGCTGGGAGATCAGAGTTGCACACGCTTGGGGTTGTTCACTCTCGGGGTTGTTCACTCTCGGGGTTGTGCACTCTTGGTATTGTTGATGCTTGTTTGTATTCCTGGTACATACTACATGTGTGCATGTTTTTTTGGGGTTTTTTTTGCTTTTCCTTTCTAGGGTAACCCGGGGTGAATTGGTCTCTCTAAGTCTGTCATCTCTCCATCTTGAGGTGGTAGTTAGTGCGGTTCTTAGAGCTATTCAAGCCTGGTCCGTGGTGTTCTTCTTGACCTCTGACAAATTCACAGCGTCTGGTTTCCCCGTGGCAAATGCGGTCAGTTGATGTCATGCTTTTTTCTAGCCATACTGGGCACATCCAGTTGTACTTTTAAAAGTTTTAATGTATTGGCTTGATGCATTGAAGCCTTTCAGATGAATATGACTGTACATAATACTACAATCATGTAGTTTCTTTGGGCAGTTGACCACACATATATACTAGAAATTTGAAGGGACATGCACATACCAACTCACCTGTACACTCTCCATCGCTACCCTGTGCGTGTGTGTGCGTGTGTGTGTGTTTATTACTAGTATGTTTATGTGTGTGCATGCTGGCTGCCCCTTCTGTCCATGTTTGAAGCATGCTTTCTCGGAATAGCAGTGCCGTTCTCATAAATCACCAAATCGGTCTTCTCACGAAGTTGTTTTGGTTATCACTGTCGTCTTTGTTGGCAGGTTGCATTTGGTCTAGTTCCTGTCATGATCAGCTGGTTTGGCTCTCTAGCGCGCTCATCGCACTATGTCCACAGCACTCTTTATAACCAGGTATGTACGCATAGTCATGTGACGAACTAATCTAATGGACACTGCAGCTATCAAGGAGCATTATTCGGAATATTCATTCTCAAGGCAGTGTTTACTAACCTGCCCCAAATCTTTGCTTTTGATACCGGTGTTGAGGTACATTTATGTGTGTCTGCTAGCCTGCTGGCTTGATGTGTGGTTGTCTGACACTAATCAAGCCCCAAGTTACACGTTTTTTTGACTTTTTCAAAGCGTGGTGAAAATCTCACGTTACGTGTACATTTTAGAGGTTTAGGCTATTATCGTTTGGTCGGATCCAGATCCAGATCCAAATCTCAGATCCATCGGATCCTTCAGAATCAACCGAACACTTTTTTGCGGACCTTGGCTGTTGCCATGTTGACGAAGTAAAAAATGGCGCTGACAGGTCACCCAAAAAAGGCAAAAGTCGTACTGATCGCGCGCGTCGTACGAAAAGTCAACGAAAGTCCACTAGACGTACAACAATGAGTACAAAAATGATTTTTACCCGCCATATACGCACAAAGGTCACATTTGGATCCGATGGACCCAGTAACCCTGCTCCCGGGGCAGGGTTGCTCGGATCAAAATCCGGATTCGACCAATCGATCATTGCAGATCCACTGGATCCGATGGATCTGGATCTGGATCCGACCAAACGATCACGGCCTAAGTTACGCGTGCGACGTGACGTGAAATATTGCCGTGGCAAGATTCGGGCTTAGTTCGAACAGCAGAACTTTTTCAACACACAAATATCAAACCTTCCAACAAACTCGATAAAACTACAGATACTCACACAAATCCGATCGGGATGACCAAACGAAACTTCTAAAAACCCAAACCATCACCAAACTACGTGTGGTACAGTCAACTCACGTAAAACACGTCAAATTGCACGCGGGTTTTTTTGAATTTTTGACGTAGAAGTTCACGGACGTAAGAATTTTGTACCTTTGTGTCGTTCACTACAGATTACAGCCGTTCTGTTGACGTGCAGTCTGCTGTATGCGGCGTCTGGTCAAGTTCGAACTGGTTTCTACATCAGTGACATGGGTATTGCGTGCCTCGCAGCCGGAGTGGCCGCGTCATCTAAGGTGTCCACGTCTTTGGCTGTGGAGAATGTATGTACCCAAACCACACGTGTTACACTTTAGGGCTGGTGTGCTGTTTGTTGAGACTGCCGAGATACAGGTACATGTACAGTAAAGCCTGTCAAGGCGACCACCTGTCCCAAAAAAACAACCAGACCGAGGGATGCTATTTCCAGTCAAATGACACTGAATATTTGGAGACCACCTGGTAACAGAGACCACGTTTTGAAGGTCCCTTGGGACCACGTTTTTGAAGGTCCCTTGAGCGGTCATCTTGGGCAGGCTTCACTGTATGTGCATACCAGGTACACTCAATCTGCAGACAGAACTGTTTCACCCTTTGTAGACTCGTCAGCGCAGCACAAAGAAAATGAGGCCAAACCTGATAGGCTCTATGTGGTGCTCCTATGTTGTTGCCGTTCCCGTCTTCCTGATACATGCACACTGCACAGTACATCAATTCAGCTGGTACTCTTGACTGCTATTTAATGACCAATGAGTTTATACATTGCATGTTTACTTCATTCCCTGTTGTCTTTCCAGCAGAGCTCAGTGACCCGAGTAGTCTTCTTGCGCTTGGTGGCAATTGTAGTCACGTTTCCCATTTTCATGCTGGTCTTGGGCCGTTCCACTGGAGTGCTCTTTTGGCTGAAGCACATGTGGAAATCTGCTGGCTACTTGGGAACTCTGGTAAGTACCAAGCAAGCAAGCACGATGGAACAACCACTTTGTGTGTTGAATAGTGACTGGTGACATCTTTGCTCAAAATCGGCCATTCGAACACACCCGTAGTGTTTCAGCAATGAAGTCAATGATAGCAAACATCCCACGCATGCTGTTTAATGAATCCCTTTCTGAATACTGTACAAAGGTGAGAAACTTTCGCTATCTGTTTCGCAACCATTACACATCCACGAAATTAAATCACCGCAAACTGCTCTGTGTATTGTTGTGAACAATACAGAAATCAACTGAAGAGATAGAATCGCGAAAGCTTCCCATCGTGAACCAGTCCCAATTCTTGAAATTAAAAAAAATGTGTGTGTGTATGTGTGTGTGTGTGGTGTGTCCAGGCGATAGCATTGCCTTTGTCAGACTACTTCCAGGTGCAACTGCAATTGATCACGTTCACACCAGTTGCATCTGCCGTGACAGACGCCATTGCCTGGATTATTTCGTTCGTCCTGTTGACGTTCCGCGATCGCATCGAGCTGCTCAACTCTGCATTGATTGGCGCCATCCTTGTTGTGCCGACCACGGTATTTCACTGGTACGCTGTCCTAAGTGATGCTCCACCATCAGACTCTGCAGCCGTCAGCTAGCTTGCTCAGAAAAGAGACTGCACACTGGATGATGATGATTTACTTGCAGAGTATTGACATCACTGTTGTTGCTCCCATGCACCACCACTTGTGAAGACTGCGCACTGCCGACACAAGCCCTACAGACAAATGCTCGCATATCAACGACTCCTGGAAACAGACATGCACTCGCCATAGTGCATTGACAGCTGCCATGTCATCAAGTTGGCACGTTTCTTTCGCCAACATCCAGGCAGCGGAGTGCCCATGGATGGCAAGCAACTGGTCATATTTTACAACTTCTATTCTCGCCTGATGACAATAGTACTCCAAGATTGGTCACACACAAACAAAACAGTCAAGCACATCGAGGCTAACGTCCAATATATAATTATTTCATTATTCCTTTTTAGACAAGAACAAAATTCAGAGCAAATACTGCAGCTAACAAATTTGCTTTTCCTTCTTCCATATCAGATTGAAGTGCGCTATTTATGCCTGCTTCATTGGTACAAATGAGGACCTATGTTGGTCCTTACCATATCATCTACTCACTGTCTGTGTTTCATCCGTATTATTTAGCCACTAATTACAGTATTTCACCATGAACCGATCACATTCACAGTCTTTGTGTGACAGAGATTTTGTGGAAACATTTTCCCACAGGTAATTACTTATATAATCCGATGCCAAGACAGCAGTGCAGGTAAAGAATGACGTGATGATGATGATAATGCTAGCAGATAGTGCTGAGTTCAAAATATAAAGAAAGACTCAACATGCATAGGTAGACCAGCTCCTATGAAGGTGATAGCTACAGCAGCAATGGCGGCGGCAGCTAAATGACTGCGGCAAGTAGCCGCAGCCATCTAAACAAGATATAGAATAGGTGTTGTGTATTTTTTGAAGCATTATGCCGTTTACAGTAACGTCAGGTACACGTGTTTCTCAAATAGGTGAAAGCGTGCATGATTGTGCACCTAACCATGCACACACACACACACACACCTGATCACACACACACACACGCAAATACACACACACACAAACACACGTGCACACACACACACACACCTAGTACCGGCGTCGGAAGCCATCTCCACGTCCACCCCGATAGCCGCCTCGGCCCCCGCGTCCACCTGGACGATCGCGATCATAGGGCTTAGGGCGAGGGCGATTAGGCACACCAATTACAGCTTCCTGGCCGTGTTGCATCAGTAGTAACTTGGCCTCAATTGCATTGATCTTAGCTGAAGTGCTGCAAAATACAAAGTAGATGGCAAGAAAAAAACCCATAAAGTACCCGAAATAGGAATGTGTGACATGGTAACACATTGGCGCACCAAGAGCATGTCCGTGTAGGTCAAAACATACATACCGCTAACAGTTTATCCGCTATGGAAAATAGCAAGAGTACATAGCCCCCCAAGCAACTCGACTATGGGTGCTGTCCCGGCAGAATTTCAAGTTGAGGTCATTTTTATGATGCAATGCGCACTGCACACGGATTATCAGACGAATCTGGAACCTCTGGTGGACCAAATGGCAAAGCCTATCTGATCCTGTACAAATTATTGCAAAGAAAAACGTGTGATGCGTTGACACCCATACACATGTTGTAAATCACTGATGCAAGGAGCATTGCATCATAAATTAATAATGATGTCAACTTGAAATTCTGTCGGGACAGCAGGGTATGTGGGAGTTGCACACTCTGGGGGGGGGGGGGGTTATGTATTCTTGAAAATACTGTAAAAGCCATATATATATAACGAAGTGCTAACTCTAACGAGTTAACGAGGAGAAATCTGTTGTTAAAATAGAAATTGTTATACAGAAATCGATACATATACTGTCCTATTGAGCGTTGAGAATGAGCGAGAATCGTTACCTTGGTACTCGTAAACTACTTAGTCAATTTGGGGAAATCGTTATATGCGCCTCGTTAGAATAATGGCTTTTACAGTAGTATTCCTGACTGCAACCATAAGCGTATATCCACTCATTCTTTTGGAAGTGCATTTGGTCGACTGAACCGAATTTCTTCAGCACAATAGAATAAATTTATAGTAAAGAAAAAAAAGGACCAAGAAACTACAAGTTATGCTATAATGTCCATTAACACCACCAGTTACTAAACAATCAGCTCATGCGATAACACTGCACGACACTGACTGACGGTACTGACGTTCTACAACTAACTGGCTAACAGCTCTTTTCTTTACTATAAATTTATCCTTGGCTCTCCATGCGAGTCCACAATAGAATAGAATTTTAAAAAGCCACGAAGTTTTTTTTGTTTCCGGAGGAGGTGCACACAGTGCATGCTCATTGCTTGCACATCTCTACAAACACACAATGACACATGGAGTGCGTGACCAGTCACGTTCTGTGGAACAAGACAGGCACATATAATGCATGTTTTAAACTAGCAACATAAAAAACTGGGTTTTTTTCTAAATAAAAACCAATCCAACTCACTCCAGCTTCTTGGGTTTCGATGCAGTATCCGAGTCACCAGTCTAAACACAAAACGAGACCAGAATGTACTCGGGGCATCAGCAACATCAGAAGGAACAAAGGCAGTAACAGTGGCTACAGACTCAGTACGACTCCATCCCCAAAAATTAGTTGAAGGAAAAGAGTTTCCCTTAACTAAAACTGCCCACAGTGGTGATGAGGGGGTCAGACTCTCAGAAGTGACACTGTCATCGCACTCAGGGTATAACATTACATTTTTAAGACACGCAGAAGGCACAAAGTGGACAGAATGAACAACAGTGGGTCGTGACTATAATTCAGCAGGACCAGTATGTGCATGGCAAACAGCAACACATCGTCGTTGATTTACCCAGGACCCTAAAAGAATGACAGATATTATCGCACTTTGTTGGAGGCGTGAACCACCGACGGTGCCATGTGCCGTATGGCTTTCCTCATAGCACAATGCAGTAGGTTTAATATGTGCGAACAAGTTGAGAAGAAGTAGCGACGACCCGGCCATTATGGAATCCAATACACCACACCACCACATTGCGCTCTTGGCCGATCCAAACTCTGCACTCACATCACCATCACCACAGCGAGGACAATTCCAGTAGATAGATTGATATTGACAATGACCCTCCAGACAGCTGTTTCGCTCCTCCTGAGCTATCAGTGGAGGCATATGATGTTGAATGAAAGAATAATAAAATTTAGCAGCATCGGACGCAGCACAGCCCTGACTGGAGTGAATGCCCCATGGGCCTCTCGGTGTGTCAAGTGGCTGTTTTGCGGCGGAAGATGCCGACTGAAGGCGCAGGCAACATCAGTGTACGTGTTCAACGGGTATGGCGGAGTGCTGTGATTGTGTGCGACGGGCTGGCAGGACAGTGATTGCCTCAGGGTCTGCTGCGTCGGCCAGTTCGCTTCGTCGTTTGTTCCCCGTCACGTCACTATGGGACAAGTACAGCCAGCCGCAGTATCTTTGTTTTTGTGGCACATGCAATAACTAACTTTTCTGGTGTTAGACTGACTGCTGTTTTTTGCGCCCCCCCCCCCCCCCCCCTTCACACGTGCTACATGTTCCTGTCCCAGCCATGAGCGCGTGTCGTTATCACCTGACCTTGTTATCACTTTTGTCACTTAGGGTATGCCACGTTTCTAGGCAGAATGAGCGCAATTGCGCCAATTTAGCCCTATAAAGATCAGTCTATCTTTATTATTCTTTCATTCAACATCATATGCCTCCACTGATGAGCTCAGGAGGAGCGAAACAGCTGTCTGGAGGGTCAATGTCAATATCAATCTATATACCGGAATTGTCCTCGCTGTGGTGATGGTGATGTGAGTTGCAGAGTTTGGATCGGCCAAGAGCGCAATGTGGTGGTGTGGTGTATTGGATTCCATATGTGCGAACAAAGTAAAAAAAAGTAGAAGTAAATTATCGTGTCCGTTCCCAAAAGGAACTCACGGCAGCCGCTAACACCCGGCAAACCATATGCAAGTAGTACCTGTTTTAAGAGCGACTGTGTCCGTCCGGTTGACCAGGAAACACGAACAGTACGATTCAGAAGCATGCGCCCTTCTAAACCTCTCTTGGCGCCTTCAGCATCCTGGAGAGAAGCAGCAGGAAGGTGAGAGAATCCCTATGAGTAGGTGAACCGTGAAAACCGCACAACGGCACACAATTACACAACACAACTAACCTAACCTACTACCCAAATACAAATGCCCCACAGATGAACAGTACACGGATACCAAAATGCATGAGCGTGGACACCAAAGCATCATCAAGCTAGTACTACCACTAGTAACTAGGCAGCATCAGTAGCACTTTCAGGAAAGCTAACTGCTGAATAGACTACGGTTCGCGAGTTGGAGATGTGTTCAAGCCAGGTGTCAGGCTGCTGAACACGACAGTACTCCTTGTCGGCTTCGTGCCTGGTCGTTACACTTTCCGACAGCTCATAAGTCATAACCTGGTTCAATTGATAGGCTGTTGCGCAGGCTCAACATGCGAGTTATAAACTAAACTACTTCACACACACCTTTCTGGTATCATACTCCACAAAACAGTATCCACTGGCCTGGGGGTTGCTTAGCGACTTGCTATACGGATAGTAGAAGTACTTGATCTTGCCGAAGCGCTGCAGAATCTTGATTATTTGATACCTAGCGAACATAGAGAGAGAGAAAGCAAACGGTTCGCCACCGGCAGAGTACACGTAGATCATAAGTGTACTTCGAAGTAACCAAATGACGTACTCGGTGATGCGATAGTCCAGGTTTCCAACCCACAGCTTATGCTGCAGGTTCTCATCATTGCCATGTTCCAGGTATTCAACTGATTTATCATCACTGCTGCCACTGCTTTCCTGCAAACAAAAACAAAACACAGACATATATATACACACACACACACGCAAGCATACACCCACGCACGCACGCACACACGCATACAAACACACAGTGACAAGTGTGGTCAACACAGAACAAACACAATCGTGCCCAATCCATGTACAGTTGTGGACATTGAAATGCAGCTGTCATGGAGGTGCCGGCCTAGGCGTGTATGCATGCCCACAAATTCTAGTCATGTTTTAGGAAATATACTGTACCCCCTTTTTCCGTGTGTACGGATCTATTCAGCCAAAAATGGAAGATCTCTGCACAGGATGTGTGTACAGCTAGTAAACATTCGCCATTTAGGTGTTTTTGTTGTATCAACTGTCTACACAGTTGTATGTACACATCTAGGGCAAGGACCCGGTCATTCCACTAGACTTCTTCATTGCCGCATGCCATGGGACGTAGCTCGTGCTCATCTTCGTTGCGCTTTCCTTCCCCTCATTGGACCTTTCCTAATATAACCTGAGCCTTCCAAGTTGGAAGGTGTACCTCGTAGATGTGTTGCAGCTAGACGTCAGGCTGTTGAATGTCTCAGTACTCCATGTCAGTTTTGTGCCTTTGTCGCACTCACCGCCTGTATATGATCTGGTTACTTTGGTGGACAGTTGGCATAACTCGTAACATATTATCCATGATTTGTTTATCCATGATTACCGGTTTATTGGCTCACCATCCGAGTTCAAAAAGAAAGAAAGAAGGTAACGCTAGCCGGATTCACATCCTCATTATTCACATCCACATCCACATTATTCACATCCTCATTATTCACATCCTCATTACTCACATCCACATCCACATAAAATATTCACATCCTCATTACTCACATCCACATAAAATATTCACATCCTCATTATTCACATCCACAACTACACGTCTACAGGTGTGCTGGGTGAAACCCAAACCAAGAAGTGGTGCGAATGCTGCTGGGCGCATACATGTACAAAAACAGTGATCTAATCAGAACTCGTCCAGGGTGCAACCTTTGTACTTAGGGTCGGAATTCAAACAATCTAACTGTACAGTCCATTCATCGGAAACTGGCCTGCTGGCTTTTGAAAGTCGGATTTGCGCCGAATTGAGGATCAAAAACCCACTTTAAATCTCAAAAATCTGGGTTTGGGATCTGCTTCTCCGTACATTTTGCCATGGCATACCTGTCCTAATTTTGTAAAATTTGGCTGAATTTCTATTTCCCTGTTCTTGGACTTTTCTGGCCTCAAATGTGGCAAGGAGTAATTGCACGGGTCACAGAATGCAGGATGTACTGTTGTTTTCACGATATCTACAACTATGTGAGAGAGACACCAAAAAGTTAGGGTGCCAGTTTCCAATGAATGGACTGTAGAGAGGTTCTGCAAAACGAAAATGCGCACGAATGTTCGCGACGGGCCTTGCGAAAGTTTGTGCAAATTTTCGCACGAAATTTGTGTTCTACACATTTTCGTAGTTTGCACGCACCCACGTGCATGTGGTGAACCCATTGACCACTTTCGAGCCTACGGAACTTCTTACGAAAGTTCACTTCACGTTTCGTGCCAGTTTCGCGCCGTAAGTTGCGAAAGTTTGTGCGAAGTTTCTCACTTCATGACGTAGAGCGAAAGTTTGTATGCATTTTCGTTTTGCAGAACCTCTCTTGTACCAAAGTTCTATGTCCACTGGCAATATTTGGCCACGGTCCTCCCAGGAAAGGGAGACAGCATTATACAGAGAAGAGATTGAGAAGAACAGTAGTAATGGACACAACTGCTGTGCTCTTAACCCTTTAGGGGTCATAGTACGGATTAATCCGTCTGTCACACATGCAGTGCTTTGATCACCAATTTTCGCCAATTCTTTGAAACTGGAGCAGATAAACGTAAACATTGCTCAATTGGCTTTCGTTGGACGCTTCTTATTCCCGTAATCCTGTTACATAGTACGTCATGACGTAGCCAGGATCCTCACTGCTCTAGTGTGGGTGCGTGCGCTAGCACGTATGTGTGTATGCACGCGCGGCACTAAACACGTGATTATGTGAGCAACCAAGAGTTGTAGGTGACGTAGCAGAAACGCAGAGTGCCGGGGCATTGACGGGGGCAGCCAAACCTGACGTACTACGTGACTGATCGCCAGCTCAGCTAGCTGCATGTAGCTACATGATGTACATGTAAGGAAACATGATCATTGGTAAGATGACCTACAGTTGTAGGTAAAACGGATCAGCACGAGGGCCCTAAACTGGCAGCTCCCTCGTTCTTCGTTTCAAAGACCTACACGTGTGAGCGCATGTGTGCACAAAACAATGCATATCCAAATCCCTGGCCAAAGTTGTTACATGTACATGTACCGTCATCTGTTTAGGTACTAGTAGCTGGCGACTGACTATCAAAGGCAGGAACATTCGAATTCAGTTCATTTCTCGTACAAATTGGATGGATAAATTGCGCATAAAACAACAATGGAGGTCTGAGGCGAGACTAACGAACACAAGCCAAAAGCAGACAAAACAATAGTGCTACTTACAGGTATTTCCAGGGCTGTACTTTGATCGGAATGGCTACTCTCCGCTTTGCTGGCTACCGGCTCAGCCTTTTTGACCATTTGTGATGACATTGTAACTGGAAAATCGACTGACGAAATCAGAAATAGCTTACAGAGTGTACTTTTTTTCTTTGTTCCACTCCTCCAAGTGAGTCACAACTACTAGTACCATGCAACACTACATGTATCAGAATAGGGGTTCCAGGTAACACAGTGCTCCCTCTTATTTGAGTCTTCACTAGAGTCGAGAGGATAGGAAGCCTTCTAACCGGGTAGACCAACGAGCCAAAGCCCATGAAAAACTGATAACGAAGAAGATTTCAGACGACTATGACCAGATGACAGTATGAGTTCAGTATGTATCAATAGAGAGGTTCTGCACAACGAAAATTCGAACGAAGTTTCGCGACAGGCCTTGCGAAAATGTGTACGAATTTTCGCACGAACTTTGTGTTCTGCACATTTTCGTAGTTTGCACGCGCCAAGTGCACGTACGACATGACCCAATCTCACGAAACTTCCTACGAAAGTTCATTTCGCGTTCCCTGCAAGTTTCGCGTCCAAAGTTGCGAAAGTTCGTGCGAAGTTTCTCACTTCGTGACGTAGAGCGAAAGTTCGTACACATTTTCGTTTTGCAGAACCTCTCTACTATCACTATCATTATCACTGCTCTTGCATGCAGTCTTGGTATTTAGAAAAGCGATCCTGTCAGCTTTTCTATTATTGTGTTCACATGGCAGAAAAAACGACATCGCTATGCTACGTAAGTTTCTACGTAAGGTGCTCGGTATTTCACTTAGGCTACGTAAGTCTCTACGTAAGGTGCTCGGTATTAGATCTACCAACGCATGGTAGCCGTGTGCTGTGCACGTGCGCGGCAGACATTGCGTTCAGTGCATGCAGTCCGCGGATCCGTGTTCGGATGTGCATGCGCGAGGAACTTCCTTCTTTGGAACTGCTTCTTGCATGAGCTGTTTCGGATATTTCGTCTCATGGCCTGGCTTATTTCGTTTCGGCGCTGCTGAGACCTCCTTTCGCGGAATATTACTCAATGACAGGTGAGTTGACCAGTTGCCTTTGATTCATTTGCTTGAGTTCAACTTCTTGACGGTAAGGCTTATGTTAGATGTGTTGTCGAAATACTCATATTCATTGTACATTGGTACGTTACAAGTAAGGCACTGGTCAGTGGCATACTACCGTTGGCAGTTCCCGATCTGGAGGGAAAGGTTCAAGTACCAATTGACCGAGTTTGCAAAATAAATTCGCATATCAGAGGAAATCTCTATTGTGGAGAGGTTCAGTAACTTGTTTGTTTCATACGAAACAAGCCAATGGGTGCAGTCTCGTGAAAATCTCGTACTTGTATGATTGGATTTGTTTACTCAAGTTTGGGCTGTTTGATTTGTGAGTACCGCCGAGATTGCACTGCATGCCCCAAATAAAGTTTCGTGCCGCCAAAGCAAGAATTACGATGTGCAATCTTTTTGTAGTACCTGTAAGAATGTGGAGTACATGTATCGTACTTTCTCTGTTGCTGTTTCAGCTGCCGTCATGTTGCTAAAGAAAGGTTCAGTAGAGAGGTTCTGCAAAACGAAAATTCGAACGAAGTTTCGCGGCAGTCCTTGCGAAAGTGTGTGCGAATTTTTGCACGAACTTTGCGTTCTGCACATTTTCGTAGTTTGCGCGGGCCAAGTGCACTTACGCCATGACCCGATCTCACGAAATTTCCTACGACAGTTCATTTCGCGTTCCCTGCAAGTTTCGCGTCGAAAGGTGCGAAGTTTCGCACTTCATGATGTAGAGCGAAAGTTTGTACGCATTTTCGTTTTGCAGAATCTCTCTAGTGACTCAATTGTTTCATACGAGACGAGTCAATGAGTCGGTGTGGCTTAGAATCTTTCGCTGTAGAAGAAATCTATTCGTATGTCTATTGGAGATATAATTGTATTCTCTGTGTTATAAAATAGGTTAAGCTCACAGAATAAATACCATCGGTCCCTTTGTGTTCATCCTAAAAAGGTTCGACTGGATACCATTCATACTCACCAAAAGATGTGTAAGATTTTATTATTGTGGAGTGCCTTGTTTATCTCTCAGTATCTCCAACCATAGCCTTTCCCCTTTTCTTCTCAGGATCAGTGTAGTTGTTGGAACGAGGTTTTGGACTAAGCAATGTATTCGTTTACATTTTAATACATGTTTATTGTTCCTCCTTTGCTGTGTTGTTTTAGACAATCGTGGACTAACAGTTTGAAGTCATTGAACTACTTCCAAAAGTTGTATCGACATCAACAGGATTACGATTTCAGTTTCAATATGATGCTGGATGACCTTATCACCATTATAAACACAGAATCAACTGAAACATCTGCGACATGCACCTGGCACATGGCTACATTTCTCAAATAAATCTGATTGAGGGTGGAGAAATCTGAAATATCTGAAAGGCAAGACAATTTTATGATAGAGTCATGAAATTCTGCAACAGCAACATGCACAGAATGGCCTCCGTATAAAAAAGTATCACCACCACTGCTCACATGTTTCCCCGCAGAAGAACATGCATTATGCTAGTGCCATTTTCTGCAAGAAAAGGCTTGCACATCAATGCTTATAATATGGTATTGATATGATGTGAAGCCACAGTGAAGGCCATCATTTACATATTGATATAGCTATATATGGCATTCCATTGATTGGTGACAGAAAAAAAGAAAGAAATTATAGCAATAAAAACTGCTTTATGGCAGTTTTCTAAAAAAAGTTATTGTGTTCTAGTCCATGGACCCCGTCTAAAAAGTAAGAAATTAACGAAATGTGATAGCTGAAAATTAAAATTTCACACAAAACCTCACAATAATCACACACAGAATGAAAGGCTACATGCAGAAGACCTTTTCCCCTCGTGATCCTCTTTCCTATGCATGCATGTTGCCAATTGTTGGTGCAGTACAAGTTTAGTGTTGAAAGCAGCGTTTCAAGTGTTGTGATTATTGTGAGGTTTTGTGTGAAATTTTAATTTTCAGCTATCACATTTCGTTAATTTCTTACTTTTTAGACGGGGTCCATGGACTAGAACACAATAACTTTTTTTAGAAAACTGCCATAAAGCAGTTTTTATTGCTATAATCATCAGTGCAGGTGCACGCGCACGGCCGGTCGACCTACGTAGACTACGTAGCTAGCTCGATCGCAAGATTCAAAAAAAACTTTTTTACATGATCGAACTACTACTGTACATGTAGTTGGTATAGCAACAATATTAATGACTTTCATAACATCGCGTACATGTACCGTACGTACAATCATTGCATCAGGGAGTCGTAAAATTTTACGACTCCCTGCATTCCATACTACCAGTGTTCGTACTATACATGGTTTTCATGTACATGTACTCTTGATACTACCAAGAGTACATAATCATGATAATGCCAGCGGGATGCTGTGGCGGAGCGCAGGTCAGCAAGCAGTGCGGCGGCGCCGAATCCGGACGTTACAGATCAGGAGTTGCACTCGGCTACAACAACTTGTAGTAATACACCGGTCCAAGTCGCTGACCCTGACACCATCACCGACAGCCAGGCAACGCACCTATTGGCCACACTGGATGCCGGTGAAAGCCAACCCACTAGCACTCCCAACTTCGACACAGACGCAACAGCCACTGGGGGCCCAGCTGGATCTGCAGACGGTGCAGAGGTCCCCGACCTACCAGTCTTCCCATCACTGGACTGCACCGCATTCCGACTTGGAGAACTGACAGGGGAAGACTCTGTGACAGCCATCGTTGAGGCGTATGAGGTTGTCGTCCACTTCCGCCCCAACCTGTTCCCAGTTCCCCAGGGCACCGTCGGTCGCTCGTTCATCTCCCAGCTGAGTGCCTTCTTCCACAGCTTTGGCAGTGCCTCGGCCTCAGAAGATGTCGCACTCAAGGCAGCGATGGTCTTCCCACAGCTGATGTTACAGAACCCGCAGGGCAACCATACCAAGCCGTCTCCACAGGAACACCTAAGGAGACGTCTAGAACTTTGGCAAACAGCAAGCCTGCCGGAACTGCTCCGCGAGTCAACCACCATCCAGAAGCAGGTCCAGGACAGGCACCAGCCAGCCGCCCGATCGACCCCCCCCCCCCCCCTGACCTGGCAAGGGCGTTCGCCGCTAATGTGTCCTCCGGCAAACTACCATCCGCCCTCCGTCAGCTATCAAGTGGTGGCTGCAAAGGAGTTCTCAGCCTGGACACCACTGTCGGCACTGATACCACCCGTGACCTTCTTATCAGCAAACATCCGGCAGGGGAGCCGGCTGATGCAGAGTCTCTGCTCACGGGTGAGCCACCTGTTCAGCCCCACAGAGTGATGTTCTCAAGCCTGACCCGTGACGTCATCCGCCGGGCCGCCCTGCACACCCACGGCGCGGCTGGGCCATCGGGCATGGACGCTGATGGATGGCGGCGCATGTGCACCGCGTTCTCCGAAGCGTCGGATGAGCTGTGTGACTCGCTTGCAACATGCGCTCGTCGCATTGCTACCACATACGTCAACCCAGCGACACTGAAGGCGCTCGTCGCATGCAGATTAATAGCCCTTGACAAGTCGCCGGGTGTTCGACCCATTGGTATCGGCGAAGTGGCCAGGCGCATTGTCGGCAAAGCCATCCTCACTGTCACCGGGAGAGATATCCAAGATGCAGCGGGCACCCTTCAACTGTGTGCCGGTCAGGAGTGCGGCATTGAAGCTGCCATCCATGCGATGCAAGATGTCTACCGTGAGGAGGATGCGGATGCCATATTGCTCGCCGACGCTTCGAACGCCTTCAACCGGCTTAACCGTGAAGCCTGCCTACGGAACACCCGTCACCTCTGTCCCTCTATAGCGCCAGCTGTAATCAACACCTACTGTCAACCATCCCGCCTATTCGTTGATGGAGAGTGCTTGCTATCGTGCGAGGGTACCACTCAGGGTGACCCTCTGGCCATGCCCGTATATGCGCTTGGAGTCCTCCCGCTCATCAAGAAAGTTGCAGTGCCTGGTGCGAAACAGGGCTGGTATGCGGACGATGCTGCAGCCGGTGGCAAGCTAACGCCTGTTCGCCAATGGTGGGACAATCTCGTCAGCCACGGTCCTGGGTATGGCTACCACTGCAATGCCCAGAAGTCACTCCTCCTGGTCAAGCCCTCCAGGTACGCAGCTGCTATAGAGATGTTCGAGGGGACCGGTGTGCAGGTCACGTGTGATGGTTGCCGCCACCTTGGTGCACCTTTGGGCACGGATGAGTTTATAGAACAATTTGTCCAGTCCAAGGTCGCCACCTGGTGTGAGGAAGTTGCGCAGCTCACGACCATCGCTGC